TTTGTGCTGCCCTAGGCACGACTAAAATCGGGCACCCCACCACTTTTTTGACTGACAGGCACATGCCCTCATTGATACATGCACTGATATACACTCACTGACAGATACACAGTCATTGGCACACACATACAGTCATTGGCACACACTGTTTAAACAACACACACTTTCACTGACAGACACACACTGACAAGACAGCTACACATAAAATGGCATACACACACTGACACACACTCACAGGCACACCCATTCTCACTTACAGACACACACTTTCACTCACTTACAGACACACACTGACAGCTATACTCACTCACTCACAGTAAGGTGGACAGCCCCAGAACATGAGGCAAACAAGGCATTTGTCTGGGAGCTTGGGGTGGCATTTTTTTACGCCTCCCCTGAAAGTGCCGCCCTAGGCAAATGCCTTGTTTGCCTTGTGGTAAATACATCCCTGGTTCCTACACAAACTTTTACCAGTAGCAAAAACCATGCAGACATAGTGTATATGTAAGATAAACTATTCCCCTCTTATGAGCTGTTGTAATATATAAGGGCTGTAAGTTTTCATGATGTTTTCAATTAGTGTACATCTGGTGGGGAGTAAGAAAGCAGAACCCGTCACCCGCATCATGAAAAAATCATTCACTTGTCACAAAAGATGTCAGAAGCATTTACAGCACTTGCATCATCATTTTCTCTGGATTCTTCCTGCTTAAAGGAACACTATAGCATCAGGAACACAAACATGTATTCCTAACACTATATTGGTAAAATAATTATGTACTTCCCAGCCCCCTCTCTTTAGTTTAAAAAAGCTGATTTACTCACCTTTTTTTTCAAAGTGGCCACGCTGGTCTCACCATGGCTGGTCTCACCTTGGCTGGCCTCTTCTCGCCCTACCTCCATAGCTGAGATAATCAGTTTTGATGATCTCAGCCAATCCAATGCTTTCCCATAGGAAAAATTTTGGAGGCAAGTGCGCATGAACTGCAAATCACCGTGCTGCACCAATTAATCGGTCTCTATGAGTAGCATGTGATTAAGAGCCGAGTCTGACTTGGCTCTTACAGGGGAAGCACTTCTAGTGACTGCCAGGAAGACAGCCACCTCAATCATAACATTTCTGTATTTACTTTTATTATTATTATTATTATTGGCAATTTATTCTGCAACACTTTACAATATTATAAAGGAGGAAATTTAACAATAATTGAGCCATACTGTTACATATTTTGACAAGAACAGTAGGTTGATGAGTACCCTGATCGAACGAGCTTACAACAGCAATGTTTTAGATTGCAGGGTGAAAAGGACAGGGAGTCAGGGACACTGTACCATGGCCACTTCAATTCGATTAAGTGGCCTTTAGTGGTCCTATAATGTAATTTGGCAATATATGTGTTTAAAAAATTACAGTGTTCTGTTACATTAAAAGCTGGAAGGGTCTGGATTTCTTAGGTAAAGGAATGTGACTAACTTATGATGTATCTATACTGTGCATTACTGTACATTATGGTACTGCTAACTCACTGAAAGCTATTTATTCCTGGATAGAACTTATAAAGAGTATGAGGCACAGCGCTGTGCCATTATATGATACATTTCAAGGGCTTTTGATGAATTGCACGATTATGATCCTAATAATCATATTAAATTTCTTTTGTCATTGTCTTCACATAGGTCAAAAAAGTAATGTGCATGATTGAGCGCAGGCGATATGATTTGTGCTGAAAAAGGAAAACGGAGCAGTTAATCTCTGTATCCCCATAATGGCTTCCTACTTCATCTTGCATTTCATCCCATGCCTTTAATCTTCACTCCTATTGAGAACATTAATGACAGAAAGTACTCTTACATGGGTCGCATTTACAAGGTGGTATTAAGGAATCAATATACAATAAAGGTTCACACTGAGGACAAGAACAGAGAAGTGCTTCCCAGAGGAGTCTTGAAGGTCCATTATATAAGGATTCCAAAGATACTTTTAAATAGATGGTGCAACATAATGGGGATTCCAAAACAATAAAGGGTTCCAAAGACGAACAATCCTCTTCTTTTTCCACCTTGTTTGCAGGGAGGTAATATCAATCTTAGAGATCTTAGAGGTGCTGATTGCCCGACTGATCATTCCCATCACTTATTGAGAGAGACAGGAGGAAGAAAGATATATAATGAGCTTGGGGTGTATTTAGTATTCCAGCTCCCCTATGAAAGAACCAAGGGATGCCAACTCCCAGGAGATCCCCCCTATGAAAAATTAATTCCTAAGAACTTAAATTCCACAGCAGATAGAATGCCCATGCCATCATTTAAGCAAATGTCCTCTAACCCTAAGTCCCTTTAATTCTTTTCTCACATCTAAACCTTCCTAATCTGAGCCATTACCTCCATTGTATTGAAAAGCACTGATTTCAGAGGAGCACAGAGTCATTAAAAAGTTATTTTAAAAGAATGTGAAATTGCCAAAGGGAATTGAAATTTCCTGTCCGGTCGTATCCTATCGACAACAGAGATGGTGGACTTGGATATTGTGCATGACCTCTAATCTCTCAGCTGGATATGATCTAAAGTCTTTTGTGCAAATATTATGTGTGAGTTAAAGTGGGTCCCCTATGCCATGAATTAAACTATTTTATATTGCATAGGGTTTGAATTAATCATTTAATGTCTATTTCGTCTTTTTATGTTATTTATACTGGGTCTACAAGATTGGATTGTCACTTTGTAAATGATCTACAGCCATTTGCATTTATTATGAATACACTTTGAAAATTGTTGAGAATGAAATGTTATCTTATTTTATTGTAAAAAATGTACTTATGGTTCTATATGTTATATTTTGTTTTATTAGCTTTTTTATATTTTCAGTTTTTTGTATTTTCTAGCACGTCCTTGTACTTAGAGAATTAGTATGATTCTTTTGCAGGATGATCTGGACTTGTAACATGCACTGCACAGTCCAAGCGAGATAGTTTATATTGGGTGAGTGCAAACTCTCTTTGCTTCCTCTGACTCATCACTGTTTGAAAAAGTAAATAACGCGTCTTTTTGTCAAGTCCAAATGCCACCAGATGTTAAACACGGTTGTAAATGATAAATGTAAATTAAACTGGGTTATTATGGTGATTTACAGAAACTGAAGCATTTAGTGAAATGTATTTAATACTGGTCGATATTGCTACAGGCAGAAAGTCATAGTCAGAATCTAAGATTTCAATTTGATGACAGTATTTTTTGCTTAATATCTTATATGTTGTCAAAATCGTTTTAATCATTTTTACTGATAAATCGAAACATGACGAGGTAAGCTTTTTTTTTTTTTGCCTAATCCTGGTCCTTAATTCAATGTTACACAGTTGACTCTGGCATTGCATCTGTTTGTGAAATATATTTACCAAGATGTTCAACCAGCTTGGAGGCATGGGAGATATAACATAAAACATGTACTGTGCCAGCATTAGCAATAACGGTAAGAAAGGTGTAAATTATTGTTATATAACGCACAAACTTGCTGTACTAACACATACGTCTTCATTATATATCATTTCTGATATCCTGTTATGGTTGTATCTTTGCACATTTGCATTGTCAATCCTGGTGTATATTATTCTTTTTTTTTTTTAAATATGCCTAAGAATATATACCTTATTATTTTTATTATTATTGGCATTTATATAGCGCCAACTTACAATGCTTTACAATATTATAAAAAGAGAGAAATTTAACAATAAATGAGACAATTACAAAATGTTACAGAAACAATAGGTTAATGAGGACCCTGCTTAAACAAGCTTACATAAGAACATACCTGTTAGGACTACAGGCGAACAAGTGATGTAGGCTCAGAATTCTAGGGGAAATGTATGAGAAGTCGCTATAAAAAATCTCCAAGTATCGCAGCTGGAGAATTGCTGAATTTAGATCAGAAAGTTTTCGAAATTACATACCGACATCACCTACATCACCACAAGTTGTTTGGAAGGCTTTCAAGAAAAAGTGTCTACTCTCATCCAAAAACATATGGGACTACAATTGGGATCGGGTTCTATGGTCAGATGAAACCAAAATAGAGCTTTTTGGGAATAAACACCAGATTTGGGATTGGCACACACAGAGAGGTAGCCCTAGGCAAAAGTTCCTCATGCTCACTTATGATCTTCTAGAAGGACATTGATCCAAAACATACATCAAAAATCAACGCAAAAATGGTTTACTGGTTACAAAATCGAAATCCTGCCATGGTCGTCCCACTTCCCTACCTTGAACCCCACAGTAGCCCATGGGATGAACTGAAGTGAAAAAAGTCCACCAGCGTCAAACTCAAAATGTGAAGGATCTAGAGAGATTCTGTATGGAGGAATGGTTTCAGATCCCTTGCCATGTATCCTTCAACATCATCAGGCTTTATAGGAGAAGACTTACAACTGTTATCTTGACACAGGGAGGTAACTCAATGTATTGACTAAAAGGGTGGCAACAATTGTACCACACATATATTTAAAAAAGATTTTGTTTTTGGATAAACCTGTGTTGTGTTTGCATTTCTTTGTTATCATTGAGAACGGAGTATTCCTGTGTATTTAAAAAAAAAAAAATCTAAAAAAAAATCAATAGCTTCAACGATAAAAACGATTTTTCACAGCCATTCTTTGCTCATATTTACCAAGAGTGCCAATATTAGTGGAGGGCACTGTATATGATTGTGAGTTAAAAATATAGCGAAACATACATCGCTGTGTTTAAACATATTACTAAATATAGATATGTTAAAAGGCTAATTTTTAATTAGTAACCCTTTGCTTGTCCCTATTTCCTGAAGTAAATGCTGTGCATAACAGTTTGCTGTATTAGCCTTGTAACTGTTTACAGCACAGAACACTGTGACACAGCTTCATACAATTGAATGTTAGCTATAGAATGCGGAAAACATTTAAAGGGAAACGAACACCTTTCTGTTTCTTACATTCCTCTTTAATTCTACACAAGTAAAAGCTATGAATAATTTAAAGAGATAAGTGGTATGTTGGGTAATAATTGTCCCTATACCCAGATATACTGGTTAAGGGGATACTCCCAGCACCATAACTGCTTCAGCTTATTGTAACGATTATGTTGCAAGGAGGCTGTGGGTTAGACGCAATTTATCCATGGGTTGACAGAAAATTCTCCAGCGCCCGCTCTGCTGTAGAGATCATAATGTGGACGTTTCACTTCCTAATATCCATGCAAAATATCTGTGCGAAGTAAAAATAAATTGTGAGTTTAGGAAGTGCAATGACATGGCTGTGAGTTCCAGAGGAAACAAGGATTCTGCCATACAAAATTATGCCAGATTCTGCTGTAAACCACAACAAATCAATTAACAGAGTACAACAGAGGTAATTGTAAAAAAATAATTTCATCTCAAAGCGACATTCTGAAAATTCCGCTGTGATTTGATCTATAGAAATAAAACCTGTTTCAGAGTAAATTGGAACATGCTCATTCAATAAGGCAAGAGGGCAGTGCCAATTTGTTTGGCAAAAGTAAAAAAAAGTTTTTCACTTGCTTCCACTATGCATTTCAAACATTTATTCCTGACACTACAATGCAGGAATCACAGTTTAGGTTCCTGGAGCCCTCTCTGTTGAGATGAAAGGGTTAAAACATACATTTTCACTCACGCCGCACCGGTCTGGCTGACCACCACTGCTGACCAGGAAGCACCTCTAGTGCACATCTCAGTGACTACCACTAGGTGGTGTCTCTAGGCAGTAATTTAAACACTGCCTTTTTTCAGAAAAGGCAGTGTTTACATTAAAAAGCCTGCAGGAACAAGCTATAAATACAAGAACCACTGCATTAGGCAGTGGCAGTTCTGGTGACTATAGTGTCCCTTTAACCCCTTAAGGACCAAACTTCTGGAATAAAAGGGAATCATGACATGTCACACATGTCATGTGTCCTTAAGGGGTTAAAAACACTGCAAGAACATTTCCTGGGGAGTATAAGTGAAGAAATGATAACAAACAAAAGTTTTACAGTATTCCTTGAAATAACATTTATCAACTGTGAACTGTGACACTTGATTTTGAAATTCTTTAAAATTTTGCCCGATATTATGGATTTTTCGCAAGCAATTTCTTTATGATCTTAATCTCCTGTCAGAAATTATTACAGTCCCGTAAGCAAGCAGTAAAACAGTTTAGTAAACGTCCCTTTCATTCCGTAGTATTTCCATTTTGTGCTTCACGTATTGTATAATGGGCTTTTTTCCAAATTTGTCACAAAAAAAATTTACATTCTGTCATGCCCCATTTTTTCTCTGGTTCTTTGCGGTGCTACCTGGGAATTTATTTCTGAAGATCACAGCACACAGCTCTGTGTAATACTGAAAGGAATTGGCTGGCAGGAAGCCTGACCAGTGGGGGAAAAAAAAAGAGGATTTTTCTTACAGAGTGTGTCTGGTTCAGTCCCACAAGGTCTGACATCAGAAAGAAAGCCTCAGTTTCCTTCAAGGAGTTTACCATTAAGGCACAAACTTTTTTTTTTTCTTACCCTCATCCCAGATTTTTTTGTGCATAAGTATTTCCTTTGTCAGACAGCAGCTCCTGCCTGATGAAAGACTCCATCGAGCAAAGTTTTAGCTTCCCAGAGCTGCAACCTTTAAACCGGCTGCACAGGACAGAAAACATCCCTTGAAGCCTGGATTCTGCTAATGCAGGAAAGAAGTGAGTGAAACTTTTCTGTGTCTTTGCACGCAGTGCCTATAGTTGTTATGGGGTTTACTGAGTGACTTTCATTGCTGCTACTCAAAAAAACCAAAACAAAAAACAGACACAATATCGAAACGTTACCAGTTTGTACAAAACTTTAACCTTATTTCAGCTAGTGTTTTCTGGTGACTATAAACATCACAGTGGGGTCAATTCACTAAACTGGGAATTGTGGAGATATGACAAGGGAAAAAAAACCCAAGACAAAACACTAAAATATATTTTTTAGTGAAAATAGAACCTAATGTTTGGCCAGGAAAGAATTCTAAAAAATGCAGATATCAGTTATTTAATGATTTGAAATGTTGCTGTATCCTGATTTTTTGTCAGACTTCCAGCCAATAGTCATGTGATACACAGAGAGAGCACTGATAGGTTGAGTTGAGTTGTTACCATAGAAGCAGCATAACATTTAGAAGTGTTTTTGTTTTGCTTTTTGGATTATTTATTTTTTATTATTTTTTTTTTTTTAATGTATTTAAAGCTATTAAGGGAAAATTCAATTGACAGAATTTATTTTTCTCATTTTAATTATTGTTGATAAACATGCTTGAGCAACAAGTATATGTTTTAACTAGTTAGTACATCACCATTAAAGGGACCCTATAGGCATTCATTTCATTGAAGTGGTCTGGGTGCAGCGTCCCTGTCCCCCTTAGCCATGCGTTGTAAGATATAGCAGTTTTAGAGAAACCTCATTGTTTACATTGCAGTGCTAAGACTGGGTCTAGTGGCTTTCTACCAGATAGCCACTAGAGGCACTTCCTGCAGCTAGACAGAGTTTGGCTCTGTAAAACAACACTGAACGTTCTCACACTTTGCTTAAAATCATCCAGCGTGTTAAAAAACCCCATATGAAAGCATTGAGTCAATGCTTTTCTTTGGGGAAAGCCTAATGTGCATACTGCGCTCGATGTGCATGTGCATTAGGTTCCCCCATAGGCTGATGTTGGAGGGGCTCGACCCAGCGCTTAGGGACAATGTTGCTGGAATCAGGTAAAACATTTTTTGTTTTGTTTTGTTTTTACCCCTTTACAGACCGGGGGTGGGAGAGGGACTATAGTATTAGGAATACAATTTTTTTTTAAGCTGAGGTTAGTAGGAACAGGAAAATAGACTAGAGGAAAAAACACAATAGTGCAACTTTTCAGGTTCTGCTAAAAAGATGTCTCGATCGAAAAATGCAAATAATAGTTAAAATAAGCTGACATGTGGACCACAACTCCCATTATGTCCAGCACACATTCAACAAGTGAAGCCCACTGTAGCTGGTGTGCCCTAAGGTATTACTGGGTGAGTTGCCTTAAATTCTCGATCTTTCCACAGACAGTCAGAGAAACTATAAACAACAGGAAAGGATATTTATACTATCTGAGTTATTTAAGGTCAGGATCGCTAAGCTGGAAAAATTCCCAACTATGCTTTTATTTACGTTACTCACGCCTTAAAATTCACTTTATTGCAAAAACTATAATGATGTAAGCATGCACAAAAACAGCATATTAATGAGGCCATCAAATGCATTAAAGTTATATTGTGCCTGGAGTCTCCCTTAAAGGGTTTATTCGCTAAAGCAAAATCTTGCAAGAGAACTGCAAATATTACACCAAAATAGCCAAAAAATTACATGTTTTTTTAGTTTATAAGCTTTTACAAGTCCCTTTCTTGTTTCTTCACAGTTTCTCATTTAGTTAAAGGACCACTATAGTGCCAGGAAAACATACTAGTTTTCCTGGCACTATAGTGCCCTGAGGGTGCCCCCACCCTCAGGGACCCCCTCCCGCCGGGCTCTGGGGAGAGGAAGGGGTTAAACTTACCTCTTTCTCCAGCTCCGGGCGGGGAGCTCTCCTCCTCCTCTCCTCCTCTTCGGCTGAATGCTCATGCGCAGCAAGAGCTGCACGCGCATTCAGCCAGTCCATAGGAAAGCATTCACAATGAAAATCACAGTGAGAAGCACGCAAGCGCCTCTAGCGGCTGTCAAGAGACAGCCACTGGAGGCTGGATTAACCCTATTATAAACATAGCAGTTTCAGAGAAACTGCTATGCTTATAAAAAAAAGGGTTAATCCAAGATGGTCCTGGCACCCAGACCATTAAGCTGAAGTGGTCTGGGTGCCTATAGTGGAAATTATGCTGTAATATTAACAAGAAAAAAACAATACATGCAATTATATGAACATGCGCAGTGTTAATTAACGAATATCTACCAAACAGCCACTTTGATATTTCTCCACTAAATCTTTTTGACTTGGAACCTTCATTTACATTGTGAAGAATTGATTGGTTTTAGTGGGGCAGCACAGGACTGTATGTTCTCTATGTAACAGTTAAAAATCCAAACATTCGATTTTAGTCGTCCTGAGCTGGGAGAGTCCTGCCAGCTGGGAATTTGTTTTAATTCACCCCATCTATCTGGCTATCAGTGTTATTGCTACAAATCAAAACGTACTGTACAGTAATGCATTATGAATGTGTCCTGTAGTCACTTTTTCCTAAATGAAATTTTCCAGGGCAGACCTCTAAAATGTATCCTGTATCCAAATGGCTTATGAATCACTGGAAGGCAGCATAATGTGCTAACATTGCCCTCAACCTGGGCTGTAACTGCTGCCTTTGCATCGACATGAGAAAATGATACATTTTATATAGACTATACAGCCATTTCTTTATGGTCACATGCTAAGTCACAGCGCTGTTTACTTTTACCCTCGTTATTTTCTTGCCTGACAATCTGTCTGCACAAACATTTATCTAGAGCAGCAAAGGTTGCGCTCTCCCATTATAGCGGCTGTGGACAAAGTTTCAATCAGCCAAACATGACTTATTACCTCGTCCCAACAACAGAAGTACCAAAGGTCAGCACAACTGATCTAGAATAATAAGGCTAATCGTATATCTCAAAGAACAGGTTTTATAATAACACACCATGTACACAGCCTAGAGGAAAAACTAGATTATATATATTGCATTTATTAAAATATTTATATATTGTTTCTGTCTGTCTATCTATCTATCTATCTATCTATCGACACACTCATTCTTTAGTACTCTTCTGTTTCTTACCTTTTGGTTGCAGGACAGTGGCCTCTGCTGGCTGGGGCTGATTTTGGTCTTGCTTCCCTCCCGTGCGGGTGCTAGCTGAGAGGAAGTGACTGCAGCCACACTGGCTGCACCGGTGGTAGTTCCGCCGCTGCCAGGGCACATATATATTATATATATCTCAATAATGTGTGCACATTGGGAATGGGAGGCCTGGGTGTCCAAGCTCCCCAGAACCACCAGAATCATGACAACCGTCATGGTTGTCACCCCCTGTGGTGACCTCTGTCAAAGCCGGAAGGCAATCCATTCTCCACTCATTGGCTTGGAGCGTCAGCTTGCTGCTCTCAGTCAATGAATGGCACACTGTGCATGCAAATATGCACAGAATGGACATTAGCCATCTAGGAATGTTTGTCCTGGTCAGCTGATGATACTTCAATGACCCTGGCAGAGGAGGAGTTACATCTCCAGCATCAAAGGGGTTAAACACCATATGTGCAACATTTCATACTGAAAGTGGTCTAGGTGCTAGAAGTAACGCTTTTGAGAGGTGCAAGTGTTACTTGACGTTACAATATCCATTGTATATGAATCCTGAAATAAGTATTTTTATTTTCAGAGTACAAGATTAAAACAATATGTCACAACATACAAAGTAAATTTGACACAGCTGTATACAATGTTAAAGAACTTTCTGTTGGTCCAGAAGATGCCTGAAGACAAGTTAATCCTGTTCCAGTTCCAAACCTCTAGTCCTTAGAATTGTATCAATTTTCAATGTTTTTGTGCAACATTGAGTTGTGCGTTAGTCATTATTCCTTGAAATAATACAGGATGTAATAGTTACGTAATCCCCAAACATCAGGGTTCACTGGTGGGCAGGATTAAAGGGGCCAACCAGTGAAATTGGGAAGCTTGGGAGGCCTGTAGTTATGCTGGTTTAGAATACCATCACCAACTCTATTATCAGCTCGGCAACCCACAATACTACCAGGCAAGTGCACAAAAACATTTTCTTCAGAAATATTGATATTTAATGAACGGCATTTCTATTTGTTAAATTATAAATCCACATATATTGTTGTATAGACAAAAATCGAGAGCTCTCAGATGATCTTAAAGATAAAACAATATTTTATTGTCTTGGCACAGAGTAATATTTTAGTCCATGGTAGATCTCATTGATATCTGATATGGATAATTTTTTTTTTTTTAAATTCTTTATTTTTATTGTGCAAGCATTAACAACCAGCTTATATTGCCACGACAGCAGTCACAAGAACATTATCATCATACAGTTCTTAACATGGCAGGTAGAGGGTCTGCACACTTTTATAGTATGGAGCAGAGTAATCGCATAGTCAGCATGAGTGAAAAAATAAAAAAAATAATAACAACAGAAACTGGAACGAACATTTGTTAACACAGGGTATACACAGGAATAGCTATGCACCATTCGTGTTTTAAAACATAACTTGTGCACCAGGATCAAGTAAGTATATCGCTACATGAACTAACATGGACTATGTCGATCCGCTGGTAGCTTTTGGTTGACTGAATATATTCTTAGTATACAATTCGTTACATCTTAAGGTTTACGATACTATCTGCCTGCTGCATGGTGAGTATTTCTGGGTACCGGTAATATCTTAGATCCTATTCTGTTCTAATTTTGAAAAGGCTCACTTATTTAAAAGGAAAAAGTTCTAACAGATAAAACACAGTGTACGTTTCAGGGTATAACACAGATTTAGTGGTAGTCGGAGCTATGGTAGCAAAATGCTCATGCACATTAGAAATGTGTCGGTCGGTTAATTAATTAAAGGTGACGCGTCCATGAGTGTCACCAGGGTAATACTTGTTATGTGGAAGCCGTTTGCCCCGAGAGCTAATAGTAGTAAGAATAGCATAGTGCGGGCATTTCTTGCCAATTTAAGTAATTCTCATATGAATTGTTTGGGTAGTATATAGTAGATATATATAGGGTATTATCGGTATGGGTGTAGTTAAATATAAGGGTGGCTCCGATTTCACGATGGTACCTTGGTTAGGCCTCAAGAGGTTCTCATTTCCCCTCAAAAAGGGGTTCTATGTGGTTTTGGAACTTGCAGAGGCTTTTAAAGCTTGTCAGAATGCGCTTGAGCTAGGACCTGATGCTTAATACTGCACCTTAACGGCTATGGTTAAACAGGATACAGACTATCATGCGAAATAGGCTATGTTACAGCTTGCGGTGCGCTTCAGTTTGGGGCATAACACAGGGGTATTTAACATTTTAAAGAAACTTTGCATTATAACTGAGTAACATTAATGGCTGCTATTGGGGCTAGGTCGCCTCCTTAGTAGGGGGGTACGGCAGCCTCCTTGGGAAAAATGGTCACTCCACTGCTTACGTGGGCTGGAGGCTGTAGCTATGATTGTCCAGTGCTCCTGGGGTTGTGGCATGCGTATGCTTCCAGCAGAGGGTGCAGTCTCTGAGAACATGCAGCTGCCTGGGTATCCGTGTCACCATCCGATGTCGTGTGGAAGCTCAGTGGTGCCTTGTGACGGTGATCCGTGTCCCGTACTCAGTGGTCCAGGAGAGCAGCAGCTAAAAAGGGACACTGCTGGTGGCAGCGTTGAGTGCATGTTGTACCCCCTTGATGGCCTGGTGGAAAGCCAGGGACCCCTTGGGTGATATAGAGTGATGACCTTAAGTGGTGACCACTGCGTATGAATTCGGGGTGGAGCCTTGAGGTATGAATGAGGTGACCCTTGCTGGGTTCCAGGTGTAGGTCAGGGAGCCGTTGTTGGGTGGCCCCTCCTGGGAGAGAGTCATGCGGCAGGCCAAGAGTCTGCAGTAGGGCTGGAGCGTCTTGGATATCTTGTACGATGTGCGTGTTCGTCCCCTGCAGTACTATCAGGGTTCGGGAGGACCGCCAGCGGTAGTCAGTCTTGTATAGTTGGAGCATGGAGGTGAGAGGGCGTAGTGACCTCCGCCAGGCTAGAGTGCCGCTGGACAGGTCTGCAAAGAAGGCCAGCTCCATGGCCTCAAAGAGGAAAGGGGTTTTACCTCGTAGGGCTGAGAGGACCACTGCCCTGTCCCTGCCGCTGTGGAAGGTGGCTATTACATCTCTCGTGCCGGTGGCCTGGGCCCTCAGTGGCTTGGGGACCCTGAAGCCCTCCTCTGGGGTAATTGTTTTGCCTTGTCTGTGCGGCAGTATTGCTGATAGTATGCGCCCCGTGACTTTCGGCAGCTCAGTGTCTGGTACCTCTTCAGGGACCCCTCTAATTTTTATGTTATGTCTTCGCCTGGAGTCCTCTTGAGCCGCCAGGCGGCGTTAATGTTGCAGGGTCTGCAATTGTAGGTTCTGCATGGTCTGTTGTAGCGTGGCTATGTTCTGGGCTTGAGACTGTGAGCATCCCTCCAGTTTCGTAATGCGGCCTGTCAGGCATCTTAAGTCCGCGCGTAGCGCCATGACATCCTCGTGGATGTGTTTTTGCAGGTCTGCCAACAGTGCCTTTAGGACTGCCGTGGTTACCGGCTCTGAGCCCGCTCCTGTGCCACTTTGTTTCGCCATCCGTAATGGGGTGGGAGTCGGCTAGTCCTCCTCATCCATGTCTTCAGACAATTCTTCGGAGAAGTCCGAGCAGCTGCCATGCAGTGCGGCCATGCTGGTTCCGCTGGCGCCTCGTGCTTGGCTCCACATCTCCCCGATCGTGAGCCCAGAGGTAGGCTTGTTTGGTGTCGTTTTTTTCCCTTTTCGCCCCATGTAGTGTTAGGATACACTTCAGTCGTTTTGTGTGGTGCTCGGAGCTACCTGCTCTTGCGACCGTTCTCCCTGATATGGATATTAAATACGCATTTTTTTCATTTGCAAGCCCTGAGAGTACTTCATTTTTGGGGGTGGGGGGGGGGCGTTAACATGTGTTACTGAGATGTGTGTAACATTTATATGTTTAAAAACCCAAACAACCATCCTTAAAATATGTATAGATTGAACTCCATAATCTGACATGCATTCATAGTTAAAGGAACACTATAGGCACCCTGACCACTTCAGCTCATTTCAGCTTCATGCGGCATTTACTGCACATGAGCATTGGAGCCCCCTTGTCGCAGGACGTCTAAAGGGGGCGGAGCATCGACCCAGCGTTGAGGTACATCGACGCTGGGATAAGGTAAGTAAATATAGTGTTTTTAACCCTCTATTTGCTGGGGATGGGGGGGGTGGGAGCTTGAGGGAGAGGAGAGGCAGTGGGAGCGATAGTGCCAGGAACCTACATTGCATTTCACCACACTGCGTAAAATCATTGGACACTGTCAACAATGCCGGAATCCCATACATGCAATATAACAGTGCCTAGTCAAAGAGTATCAGTAGTATAAAATTAAATTCTTATTCATGCATGTAGCAAACTAAACATCACATAGTACAGCAGAGCATCAATGTTGTATTAAAGGCCCATGACTGGTTATGCCGTCATAACCATCTGTACTTTAATGATTCTATCCTACAATTGACTGAACCGCCAAGTTAATGACTGCAGCAGGGCTGTATAAACTTGTGAATTCTAAATAATCAGGACATTATGCTCTACTCTGGCATGTGGTATTTAGGGATCACACTGTGAAGAGAATAAAAAAATGACTACTTGGTAGTTATGAGGGTATTAGTGACACAGAATCATAGCTTGGAGGCAAAACACCAACATTCTAACCACACACTATGTATTAAATGCATAGCACCGTATGCTGCTGCTACCCAGAAAAATATAGAAACGTGATAAACAGTTATTGCACATGTAGACACAATGGACATATATATGTATTCGGCAAATAATCGTAACAGTTAACTGCTGACCGCTCCCAGCCAATGCACCCCTGTCCCAGTGACACTCCGCGCTTCCTGAATCTGAAAATTCAGAAGCAGGATGCTGCCTGGGGAGGAGTTGAGACCAGCGCTGAAGATAACTGGGGGATTTAACTGCTCGAAATCAGTGTAACCCCTTGAGGTAAGCGTGCTTCTGGGGGCCTCCAGGCACCATAACAAATTCACTTAGATTGAGTTATAGTGGTGCCTGGGGAGTCTATTTAATAAACAAGACACTTTATACTTTAGAAATAACATTTCAAGAATCCATAGGCAGTCAGTTTTCATGATTTTTCTTTTTTAAACTGACTTAACCCCTAAAGGACCAAACTTCTGGAATAAAAGGGAATCATGACATGTCACACATGTCATGTGTCCTTAAGGGGTTAAAGGGATTCTATAGTGCCAGGAAAACAAAGTCGTTTACCTGGCACTATAGAATCCTACAGTACACCCCTCCCTTGTGTACCCAGAAGTCCATCTCGTGGTTGTCTGGTAGCCTGCCACTAGAGGAGGAGTTAACCCTGCAATAATTACCACTGTAGGGTTAAGGGACATCGGACTTCAATGAACTGTAGTGGTCTGGGTGCCTACAGTGTCCCTTTAACACAAACCAGCACAAATAGCACTCCTCTTGCGCACACCTCTACCTACAGTATAACTCAAGAAATGGTTATTAGATCATCTTAGTCATAATTACAGAAAGAATTGGCATTGGCGGAAAGTAAGAGACTTCTTTTAAACTTTAGTCCTTTCTTTCAGCATAAAGAAATCTTATCGGCCTACAACTGCGAGGACCTTTCGCTGCTATCGTTTGCAATGTGAGGCTTATTAAATTATGGAACAGATTTATGGAAATGTAATGAATTGGAGGGAAGTTGCTTCTCTTAAAAGTTATAAAGCAGCTGCCATTCCTAAATATACTTCAGGTAACCATGGCAACAGAGTCTGTCACTAAAATAATGTACTTTGCTGATAAAAGAGGAAGACTTTTTTGTTAAAAATGCAGCTGACAGATCACTACAGTGAGAACAAGAATGACTTCATCGCAGTGGGATGCCCAGACGAGCAGGAAGATATGTACAATCCACATACATATTATCTATGATTAAAGCGCTAATGCTCGCGTCCCTGAGAACATTCATTTGGCTTAATGTGGGTAGTAAAGTATATTGAAACAAAAGGCTGCAGACTGCTATTTCGCTAATACGTGATCATCACCGTAAAGGAACGCTCCAGTCAACTAAAGGACTTCAGCTTGCTGAACTGTTTTAGGGGTTAACTGCAGGTCCCCTTTGCATTATTTTATAAAAGTATGAATATTAAGGGAAATTGACACATTTATAAAAGTCCTTTGTTGCCACACTGACCGCAGTCCACTCTTTCAAATACTTGGGTATGATGTTAGACCCCAATCTATCTTTTGGCCTGCACATAGAAAAGCTTGCATCTAAACTTTATCCAAAACTAGGTGCCCTGTACAGAAACAAATCCTGCCTAAGCCCTACAGTAAAGGAAAAGATTGTACTGCAAATGCTGATGCCAATCATTGATTATAGGGATGTAGTATATGCACCTGCACCGCAATCCCACCTTAATAAACTCAATACATTGTATAACTCGTTCTGCCGATTTGTGCTACAATGTAATTACAGGACCCACCATTGTTATATGCTAAAAGAACTAAACTGGCTGTCGCTGGAATCCAGACGCACCCTTCATCTTTCCAGCCTTGTGTTTAAGAGCTTTTCTGGGAAGCTCCCACCCTACCTGAACACAATGCTTTCCTCAGCTGTTCCTACTTCCTATAACATCCAATCCAGTACCAACACTTTACTTAGTCTACCTCAATACAAAAAGAAAGCAGCCCGATCCTCCTTCTCCTACAGAGCACCGCAATTGTGGAACGACCTCCCGCACAATTTAAAATCTGCCCTAAGCCTAAAGTCCTTTAAGAGATCCCTCTCTAAATACCTCAAAACAGAATTCACCTGTCATGGCTGATTATATATTTCCTGCGTGTTCTATGTTAAATATTGTATTTAGTGTGTATTAATATTGTTTTTGTATTTTATTGTACCCTAATTGTAACAATGCAATGATTTGTGGACCGAGGACATACTTGAACACGAGAGAAATCTCAATGTATCTTTCCTGGTAAAATATTTTATAAATAAAATATTTTATAAATAAATCAGACAGCCGGAAGAGTTTCTTGTCTCACAAGCAATGAAGGGTTTCCTCTCTCACTAGCTAAGAATGCTCTTTCAAAGAGGAAGATAATCTCTGTGAGAAGCCTTGAACTGGACCCAAGATCATTAATTACCACTATCTTAGTGGAGGAACGGGCTGTGGCTAGGAGCCCATCTTGCAACTGGTAAAAGGTGAATTTACTCTATTTCTTACTAGTACAGGGGTAAGGCCATAGGTCTAAAATATCTGATGTTCTGGAGCATTTTGATGTTCTAGAGCACAAATATTTGTGTGTAGTCTTGATAAACTTTTTAAAGGACTAATTGCGTAGAGTATGAAATCAGCACTTCAATCTCCCGCAAACTCAAATGCCCTTTTCATACTTTTAACTCTCTTCTGCGCCCTGTCGCTCCTCATTCTCCTACCAACTTGACCGCCACAAACTCTTCACTCTTCAAACACGCAACCATAATCCCAGTTCTGAAAAAGCACAACCTTATTCCTAACTCCCCATCGAACTGCTTCCCTATCTTGCAACTTTCACTTGCCTATAAGCTCTTTAAAAAGGTTGTCTACGCAATATTGTCTGACTTCCTCGAATCCAACTCTCTGCTTGATCTGCTTCAGTCTGGATTCTGCTCTCATCGCTCTGTCAAAACAGCTCTGACCAAAGTATCCAATGATTTAATTGCTGCAAAGTCTCGTGGTCAATATTCTATTCTAATTCTCCTTGACCTCTCTGCGACTTTTGACACTGTTGATCATCAACAGCTTCTTCTCATTGTCCGTAAAGTCAGTCTGCAAGATACTGCACTCTCCTGGTGCTCCTCTTACCTCTCCCAGAGCTTTTTCAGTATTTCTTTCTCTGACTCTGCCTCTTCTCCCTAACCACTCTCTGTTGGTGTTCCCCAAGGTTCTGTTCTTGGTCCCCTATTGTTCTCAATCTATACTGGCTCCCTTGGTAAACTCATCAGCTCCTTTGGCTTCCAGTATAATTTCTATGTGGTTGACACTCAAGTCTATCTGTCCTCTACTGATCTCTCTTTCCCTCTTGTCTCATGTCTCTGACTGCCTCTCTGCTATTTGTAACTGGATGGCTGCTCAGTTCCTTAGTCTTAACGTGTCCAAAACAGAACTTCTTGTCTTTCCTTCTCAAGTGTTGCTACTAACATGACTGTTTCCCTCCAAGTCAACAGCGCTACCATCAGATTTTCACCACAGGCTCACTGCCTAGGTGTTCTCTTCAACTCCAACCTCTCCTTCACCCTCCATGTCCAGTTGATCGACAAATCCTGCCGCTTCCGTCTCAAAACTATAGCGTGCATCCCTCCTATTTAATGTCCGATGTGGCTACCCCTCTCTGTCTCATTAGAGATATTCTTTTGCCTTAAGCTGATGCAAGCAAGTTGAATTGTTAGTGTATGATTGGAGTGGAACTAAAAACCTCCATATATATATAAATATGCACAGGGATTTGGAATAGTGCGCAAGTGACTTTTTTCTAAGGTGCTGGTCAATGCCACTATCCTCTAACGCCTTGACTACCACAAACCACTTCTCAGTGGTCTTACGTGCACCCAACTTGCCCCATTGAGTCTATAATGAATACGGTGGCGAGGCTCATCTTCCTGTCTGCCCTCACCTCCCACGCCTCACCTCTATGTCAGTATCTGCATTGGCTTTCTGTAAGATATAGGTCTCAATTTAAATTCGGGTTCTTGCATTCAGATCTCTACATAATGCTGCTCCTAACTACCTATCCTCTGTAATATACAAGTATATCCGTCTAGGCCCCTACACATTGCCGAAGACCTACGTCTATGCTCTGACTATACAGGGAGTGCAGAATTATTAGGCAAGTTGTATTTTTGAGGATTAATTTTATTATTGAACAACAACCATGTTCTCAATGAACCCAAAAAACTCATTAATATCAAAGCTGAATATTTTTGGAAGTAGTTTTTAGTTTGTTTTTAGTTATAGCTATGTTAGGGGGATATCTGTGTGTGCAGGTGACTATTACTGTGCATAATTATTAGGCAACTTAACAAAAAACAAATATATACCCATTTCAATTATTTATTATTACCAGTGAAACCAATATAACATCTCAACATTCACAAATATACATTTCTGACATTCAAAAACAAAACAAAAACAAATCAGTGACCAATATAGCCACCTTTCTTTGCAAGGACACTCAAAAGCCTGCCATCCATGGATTCTGTCAGTGTTTTGATCTGTTCACCATCAACATTGCGTGCAGCAGCAACCACAGCCTCCCAGACACTGTTCAGAGAGGTGTACTGTTTTCCCTCCTTGTAAATCTCACATTTGATGATGGACCACAGGTTCTCAATGGGGTTCAGATCAGGTGAACAAGGAGGCCATGTCATTAGATTTTCTTCTTTTATACCCTTTCTTGCCAGCCACGCTGTGGAGTACTTGGACGCGTGTGATGGAGCATTGTCCTGCATGAAAATCATGTTTTTCTTGAAGGATGCAGACTTCTTCCTGTACCACAGCTTGAAGAAGGTGTCTTCCAGGAACTGGCAGTAGGACTGGGAGTTGAGCTTGACTCCATCCTCAACCCGAAAAGGCCCCACAAGCTCATCTTTGATGATACCAGCCCAAACCAGTACTCCACCTCCACCTTGCTGGCGTCTGAGTCGGACTGGAGCTCTCTGCCCTTTACCAATCCAGCCACGGGCCCATCCATCTGGCCCATCAAGACTCACTCTCATTTCATCAGTCCATAAAACCTTAGAAAAATCAGTCTTGAGATATTTCTTGGCCCAGTCTTGACGTTTCAGCTTGTGTGTCTTGTTCAGTGGTGGTCGTCTTTCAGCCTTTCTTACCTTGGCCATGTCTCTGAGTATTGCACACCTTGTGCTTTTGGGCACTCCTGTGATGTTGCAGCTCTGAAATATGGCCAAACTGGTGGCAAGTGGCATCGTGGCAGCTGCACGCTTGACTTTTCTCAGTTCATGGGCAGTTATTTTGCGCCTTGGTTTTTCCACACGCTTCTTGCGACCCTGTTGACTATTTTGAATGAAACGCTTGATTGTTCGATGATCACGCTTCAGAAGCTTTGCAATTTTAAGAGTGCTGCATCCCTCTGCAAGATATCTCACTATTTTTGACTTTTCTGAGCCTGTCAAGTCCTTCTTTTGACCCATTTTGCCAAAGGAAAGGAAGTTGACTAATAATTATGCACACCTGATATAGGGTGTTGATGTCATTAGACCACACCCCTTCTCATTACAGAGATGCACATCACCTAATATGCTTAATTGGTAGTAGGCTTTCGAGCCTATACAGCTTGGAGTAAGACAACATGCATAAAGAGGATGATGTGGTCAAAATACTCATTTGCCTAATAATTCTGCACTCCCTGTACACCTACCTCTCATGCTGGCTTTCAAGAATTCTCGAGGGCTGCACCGTTCCTGTGGAACTTAGAAACATAGAAACATAGAATGTGATGGCAGATAAGAACCATTCGGCCCATCTAGTCTGCCCAATTTTCTAAATACTTTCATTAGTGCCTAGCCTTATCTTATAGTTAGGATAGCCTTATGCCTATCCCACGCATGCTTAAACTCCTTTACTGTGTTAACCTCTACCACTTCAGCTGGAAGGCTATTCAATGCATCCACTACCCTCTCAGTAAAGTAATACTTCCTGATATTTTTTTTAAACCTTTGTCCCTCTAATTTAAGACTATGTCCTCTTGTTGTGGTAGTTTTTCTTCTTTTAAATATAGTCTCCTCCTTTACTGTGTTGATTCCCTTTATATATTTAAATGTTTCTATCATATCCCCCCTGTCTCGTCTTTCCTCCAAGCTATACATGTTAAGATCCTTTAACCTTTCCTGGTAAGTTTTATCCCGCAATCCATGAACCAGTTTAGTAGCCCTTCTCTGAACCCTCTCTAAGGTATCAATATCCTTCTGAAGATACGGTCTCCAGTACTGTATACAATACTCCAAGTGAGGTCTCACCAGTGTTCTGTACAGTACTTCTACTGCTAATACCTCTCCCTATACAACCAAGCATTCTGCTAGCATTTCCTGCTGCTCTATTACATTGTCTGCCTACCTTTCCTCAATTGTTGAGGTTAGGACTCTATCAAATATTCTGTACTCTGCCCTTGGGTTTTTACGTCCAAGATGCATTATCTTGCACTTATCCACATTAAATGTCAGTTGCCACAATTCTGACCATTTTTCTAGTTTACCTAAATCATTTGCCATTTGGCTTATCCCTCCTGGAACATCAACCCTGTTACATATCTTAGTATCATCAGCAAAAAGACATACCTTACCATCAAGACCTTCTGCAATATCACTAATAAAAATATTAAAGAGAATGGGTCCAAGTACAGATCCCTGAGGTACCCCACTGGTGACAAGTCCAAGCTTCGAATATATTCCATTAACTACAACCCTCTGTTGCCTGTCACTCAGCCACTGCCTTACCCATTCAACAATATTGGAATCCAAACTTAAAGATTGCAGTTTATTGATAAGCCTTCTATGTGCAACAGTGTCAAAAGCCTTACTGAAATCTAGGTAAGCAATGTCTACTGCACCACCCTGCTCTATAATTTTAGTTACCCAATCAAAAAAATCAATAAGATTAGTTTGGCATGATCTCCCTGAAGTAAACCCATGTTGTCTCTGATCTTGAAATCCATGTGTTTTTAGATGTTCAACAATCCTATCCTTTAACATGGTTTCCATCACTTTCCCCACTACTGAAGTAAGGCTTACTGGCCTATAGTTGCCCGACTCCTCCCTATTACCTTTCTTGTAAATGGGCACAACATTCGCTAACTTCCAATCTTCTGGGACTACTCCTGTTAACAATGATTGGTTAAATAAATCTGTTAATGGTTTTGCTAGTACACCACTAAGCTATTTTAATAGCTTTGGGTGTATTCCATCAGGTCCCATTGACTTATTTGTCTTTACTTTTGACAGTTGAAATAGAACCTCTTCCTCTGTAAACTCACGTGTAATAAATGACTCATTTATCCTTTTTTCTCAACTGAGGTCCTTTTCCTTCATTTTCATCTGTAAATACAGAACAAAAATATTCATTGAAGCAGTCAGCTAGACCTTTTTCCTCTTCTACATACCTTCCTTCTTTTGTTTTTAATCTAACTAATCCTTGTTTTACTTTTCTTTTCTCATTTATGTATCTTAAAAATGTTTTGTCCTCCTTTTTTACTGACTGTGCTATTTTCTCTTCTGTCTGTGATTTGGAAGCTCTTATAACTTGCTTAGCTTCTTTCTGCCTAATCTTATAGATCATTTTGTCTTCCTCACTCTGGGTTTTTTTATAATTCCTAAATGCTAACTTTTTGTTTTTAACTATTTTGGCCACATCTGTGGAGTACCACAGTGGTTTCTTGAATTTTTTTGCTTTTACTGACAAGCCTAATGCAATTTTCTGTTGCCTTCAATAGTGCAACTTTTAAATAATCCTATTTCTCTTGGACTCCATTTAAATTGCTCCAGTCTGATAATGACTCCTCTACCCATATTCTAATTTTAGAAAAGTCTGTTTTTCTAAAGTCTAAAACTTTTGTTTTTGTGTGGTGTGACTCAGTCACTGTTCTTATATTAAACCACACTGACTGATGATCACTGGATCCTAAACTTTCACCTCCAGTAATATCTGATACCAAATCTGCATTTGTTAACACTAAATCTAGTATGACCTCTTTACGAGTTGGCTCTTCAACAACTTGTTTTAGAGACAATCCCAGTAGTGAGTTTAGAATATGCGTGCTCCTGGCACACGTAGCTAATTTTGTTTTCCAATTTACATCAGGAAGATTAAAGTCACCCATGATGATAACTTCCTCCTTCATTGTCATTTTAGCTATTTCCTCAACTAGTAGATTATCTAACTCTTCTATTTGTCCTGGGGGCCTATAAATCACACCTACTCGAGTTACTGTGTGATTACCAAATTCTAACGTAACCCAAACGGACTCTATGTTTGTCTCACTAACTTTTATTAGGCTAGATTTTATGCTATCCTTTACATACAGGGCCACCCCTCCCCCTTCTTGCCTTCCCTGTCTTTTATATATAAAGAGTACCCTGGTATTGCTATGTCCCAGTCATTTTTCTCGTTATACCATGTCTCAGTAACAGCGACTAAATCTACACTATCAGTTGCCATTATTGCCACAAGTTCATTGATCTTTTTCCCTAAACTGCGAGCATTTTGTGGACATGATTCTAAGCTTATCATTTTTTAACACACTTGCTACAGGCACCTTCTGTCCTTGTTTTGGGGGACAATTGGATTGATGTTTTATCACCCTTTTACCTCCCCTCCCCCTCCTAGTTTAAATACATCCTAGCAAAACCTCTGAACTGCTCACTGAGAACATTTGTTCACTTTTGAGAAACCATCTTTTTTGTACAGCTTATTTCCATTCCAAACAGAGCTACCATGAGAAATAAAGCCAAATCCTTGCTCCCGACACCATTCACCAAGCCACAAATTAAAGTCCCTAATACGCATCCGCCTGTCATTCTGAATGTTATGCACAGGCAGAACTTCAGAGAATGACAGTGTGGAAGCAACCTGCTGTATATCATTGGCAAAAATACTAAAAACTTCCTTAACCTCTGAAACCTCATTGCAAGCCATGTCATTTATCCCTAGATGGACAAGTACATCCAATTCCCCTTCCTGCTTTGCTTGTTTAACAATATTACAGATATGTCTCCTGTCTCTGTGAGCAGTAGCTCCGGGAAGACACCTCACAAGACCACCATTGTCCATCTCCACACCTCTTATGATCGAATACCCCAACAACAACTGCTTTCTATTAGGCCTCACCATAGTCTCCAAGCCGGTCTCCACAACACCACTAGCCTCAGTGCCTCTCTCCACAAAACCACTAGCCTCAGTGCCTCTCTCCACAACACCACTAGCCTCAGTGCCTCTCTCCACAACACCATTACACTCTGAAAGTGCAGAAAATGAATTATGTAGAGCAACAGACTGTGCAAAATGCCTTTTATCCACGACTCTAAGTCTACCAGATCCTACAGTAATCCATCTGCCATTCCTAGTATGTCTCTGCGGCAGTGGCTTTGCAGCAGTTCAAGTCTGAGTTTGTTCACCAGATAATTTACAAATCTCAGACTTCAAAAATACTATCTCCTGCCGCAAGATAGAGAACTGTCTACAGATTAGACATCAACCAAATCTCCAAAAAGTAGAATGTGAAACAAATGCATAGCAACTATTACACTGAACTAAGTCTGCCATTCCAATGAGGAAAATAATTTAACTCACACTCCCTTCCCTTCTCCGTTAGACGCTCACCTAGTCTCCACTCCTTCAAAAAATAATTGAAAACTCACTTCTTGAGGAAAGAATATCAATTAAACTGTTAATAGCTTTGCCTCACACAACCAGATTTCTGTCCTGCAACTGTCATAACTATTTATATATATATATATATAAATATAACACTAAGCCCTCAGTGAATACTATCCTAGCAACCTACTTTTCTAACTTACCTTTTGTGTCACTTTACCGCACTCCTTCTAGCATGTAAGCTCATTGAGCAGGGTCCACAACCCCTCTGTTCCTGTGCGTCAAACTTGTCTGGTTACAAATACGTGTCTATTAGTCCACCCATTGAACAGCGCTACGAAATTTGTGGGCACTTTATAAATAATAAAATAATAATAATCCGTAGTCTGAGTGGAATATATGGAGGTGTCGGATCTAGCTATTATCTAAGGCACTTATTGGAGCCCTTTGAGTGGCACAAGAGCTAATATCATGGAGAGCTTGTCAGCGGCGAATTAAATCTCATGACAGGGCTCGTAAGGAATGAGATTTAACTTGATGGTTTAGCACAGCTTTATTTCATCAGTCACTTTTATTCGAGCAGAGCCTTTCCTATATATAGCATGCTTTAAAGAATCACCGAAGGTGGTTGGTTCCTAATTTCAGCATACAGGTAGCGGACATTTACAGCTGGGGACAATACGACTTCTTTTTGTTTGGATTACATGCTTAAAAATACGTTCTATGGTTTCTTCTTTGGGTGCTCTGTTTGTGCTGCTGTTTCAAGCTTACTGACTCCCAGGAGCTGCCGCTATGCTCATGTGATTGTTGCCCCTTTTTGTATATGTGGCTGTTTTGCCGCTTTATTAATTGCTGCTCTGCAGTACGTGTATTTTAATTTTATTTTAATCTGTGTTGGTGTTAATATGTTTTTATATTTTGCATTGAATAAAATAGTGTAAGAGAATCGGTTTATACCCATGACTGCTGCGATGCACCCTGACTATCTGGAAATACATGCCAAGTAAACTTTCTATGGGTGCCAGTATTCACGGGACAGCAGCTTTCATTTCATTTTATAGAATGAGGACCTAGTTTCATATTCTTATTAAAAAACGTCGTAAACATTCCTTATACACTTTTATTGTATTCCGTTTCAGATTCTTTCTAAGTTTGAATAATACTTGCCTGTAGCCTGGACCCTCTTGCAGGAAAAGGGATGAAAATTGTGTTCATGATTTTTGTATTTTTTTGACAGTTATGCTTTTCCCGTCTTTTTCTTAAATTAAGCCCATGTGTTTGTTTGTTATATTAGGAAAGAAAAGTCTTTAAACAGCAGTTTCCTCTGCTCAAGCAGAAATTCACTCCCTCCCTCTCCGTCATTAAAAATCCCTTTCAGCGTGATGCTGTTTTAGTCAGCAAATATATGTGGCTTCAAAACTGGCTTTGCAGGACAGTTAAAGGGACACGCCGTGCAACAAATGTGCAAGGATGAATCTACATAAGTATAAATCAACTTGATTTCATCACATGGTACCTGATGTATATTTGTTTTTCTCAAGATAGCAAAATAAATAAAAAATATATAAAATTCTCAACAAACAAAATTACTTGTTCAATTTTAGCATCCACTCTTGGGAGATAGATTCATAGCTTCCTGAGTTTGGCAAGAAAGTCCTGACTTTGAACTCTTGTTTTCCCGTCATGGATATGCATTCAAGCGAACCACTTCTAGGTACACCAGAAACATGTCCTGTTTTATTCCAATGGAGATACTGACAAAACCTGGACTGTTGGTGGTCCATGAGGACTGGGTTGGGGAACACTGCTTTAGAGAGCAGCGAAAGTGCATAATTAAACACATTTTTACTGCTCTCACTTGGGATATGTACCAAATTATTATTTTATTATTATTAATTTATTATTTATATAGCACCAGCAAATTCCGTAGCGCTGCACATATAACAGCATGTCAGCAGGAGTCAAGTGTTGGGGAACTTTGGGTGACTCCACAGACTGGTGCACTCCTGTTTGGGTGACGTGAATCCTTAATGACGCAATAATGCAAAGTGCTTATGGTACTTAGACTGAACATTAAGTGAGTAATCCTAATAGGATAAAATCCCAGGAAGTCACTGTTCAAGTCAGTAAAATGTATAATTGACAAAAACTAAAATATAAGCTTGCAATTTATTACGAAAAATGTCCACAGCTTGCTCTCTCTGTATTGAAAGTGCTAACGTAACTTTGAGAGGCGAAAGTATTTAAGAATATTTAAGTATGTATCTAAATTTTGTTGGAATAGTATTGTGCGGTTATTGAAAACACTATAAATATGAGGAATTGGAGAAGCAAGAGATTTAATGAAGTGTGTATCTTCTGGGAATGCCTACGTCTTGCAAACTAGGGGGACATATTATTCCATGCACACTGGGTAACCCAGAGCGCAACATAGAAGCTGGCAATAGTTTATCGCCCGAAGCCCTGATATGACCTTCCCACTGGTGCAGCCTTTCTGGCTGATTTAGCTTTCTGATAAAAAAAAAACGCCTGTTCTCTCTGCCATTTTATGAAGCTGTGCTGTGTATGTGATTCATGGGCACAGCTGGAGAGCTCAGACTATCCACAGGGCTGAACATTTTACTGGAAGAAACTGCATGCAAATTAAATGCTTGTGTAAGTTCTCAACCTTTATTTATTTATTTGTTTGTTTTTCTTTCGCCTGTACAAGTGGCTTGTTTACCACAGATGTGCGATGTTTGGAAATGTTAAATGGATTAGGTTTAAGGGGTTCTAATTACAGAACGGTTGAGTTCTAACAGTTAATTCTTTTGTAGAAAATCATTTCAAGGTGATGTTAAAAATTTTTTTTTTTTAAATGCTTTGGTATAGAAAAAATGAAGCTAACTTTTATATGTTTTCTAATAAAGCTTAGATGTATACTTTTGTTTCATAGATTAAAAAAATGTCAAAAAAGAATACTTTGCTATAGAAAAAAGTTAACTTTTATATGTTTTCTAATAAAGCTTAGATGTATACTGTTATCTAATAGATTAAAAAAATAAAAAATACAGCATAATACTTTTATATCTTTTCTAATAAAGCTTAGATATATACTGTTGTTTAATATGTTATCAGTAATCATTAGTAATGTAATGCCAACATTATACAGAGCTTTTACTACTAATGATTCATCAAAGTAATCATAGACTGTTGTCTGACTCCATTCTGTGCTGTGTGCGTAAATACAAATTATGAATGAGATTGATTCTTCTCTTTAAATACTGATTATCACATACAGCGTTCCATCTAAGAACATTTTATGGGGAGTCCAACTCCGGAAATATTATAAAAAGAATCTTTAGAACACACTGTAGCTTGCAATAGAGGTAAATGCATGAGTTTGTGTTATAGGTTCATTTTGTAAATGTTTTACTGCTTAACTGCTCACAAAACGTGCTTAGTGCGAACTATTTTCAAATATTTACCAACAAAGGAAAATCGCAACTGAGATGAAGGTGATAATTAGGTATTCACTAAACAGTGAACTAAAAACAGAATGCTAAATGCAGGCCAAAAAACCCCCAAAACAAATCCTGATTTGGAAAAATTCTCCAAGTACGCTATAATCACAATATTTTACAATCCTGTGTTTTTTAAATCACTGTAACTCTATGTTTAGTAAATAGACCCCATTGCATGTTAATAAGCCTGACATACCATTGGTTCACAAGGTGTTGAACTTTGCATTGTCAATCAGTCAGCAGGATTTGTGTGTATGTGTATACATCAGCAAATGTACATGCTTTCTCCTGGTGATCCCTAGTGGGACCTCAGACAGTTGTCTGATGTAACTGTAGACAAGCGGTTATGTCCGAGTAAAGCTTTTTAATTTATTGTGTACATGTTCATGTAATATAATTTAGTGACATTTTAATTTTGTTTCCAATCAAAGTGACATTAAAGAGACACTATAGTTACCAGAACCACTACAGCTACGGCTAGTAACACCTCTAGTGGCAGTCACTCAGACAGCCACCAGAGGTGCTTCCTGTATCAGTGCTACACAGTGTGCAGCACCTGCGTTCAGCGTCTCCATGCTTTGAAAGGACGCGCTAAACGTTATCCATAGTGATGCCCTGTTTAATGCATCTCTATGATGAGATACGATAAAGAATTGGATTGGCTGAGATCATCAGCAATGTATGCGGGACAAGCTGTGGCAAGATCGGCACGACGTGGGAGTAAGGTGAGTAAAATTCAATTTTATCTCTGGAGAGAGAGAGGGCAGAGACCTAATGCTACATTCTAGCAATATAGTGTCAGGAACATGTTTGTATTCCCAGCACTGTAGTTTTTTTTAAGCTTTAACTTTAACTTTTAATTATTTGATTGAAGCAGAGATAAACACTCATTGAGGCTTGAGTGCTCTTTGGCAAGGTTGTGATTTTGCAGACATATATTGTTGTTTATTCATTAAACATTGCATTGTAATGAATTAAAAATGGAATTGCAACATTTAGGCTAAAAAAGCCAGTAACTGAGTTTGGTTTTCAAATCACTACAATTCAGTGTATGGTGAATACACCTCATTTTTATTATACACATTGGCCAAATCGCTCTGTTCGATGGGTCTGTAGAGAGCATGTATGTGTGTGTCAGTGAGCATGTCTGCAGTAAGGATGTATGTGTTGGTCAGTGAGCATGTCTTTAGTAAGTATGTATGTGTGTCAGTGAGCACGTCTGTAGTGAGCATGTATGTGTGTGTCAGTGAGCATGCCTGTAGTGAGCATGTATGTGTGTGTCAGTGAGCATGTCTGTAGTAAGCATGTATGTGTGTTTCAGTGAGCATGTCTGTAGTAAGCATGTATGTGTGTGTCATTGAGCACGTCTGTAATAAGCATGTATGTGTGTGTCAGTAAGCACATCTGTAGTAAGCATGTATGTGTGTGTCAATGAGCATGTCTGTAGTAAGCATGTTTTTGTCAGTGAGCTTGTAATGAGCATGCGTGTGTCAGTGAGCTTGTCTGTAGTGAGCATGTGTGTGTCAGTGAGCTTGTCTGTAGTGAGCATGTGTGTGTCAGTGAGCTTCTCTGTAGTGAGCATTTTTGTGTGTGTGTGTGTGTGTGTCAAGGAGTTTGTTTGTACTAAGTTTGTGTGTACCTGTAAGCTTGTCTGTATTTGTCGATTATCTTTTGTGTGTCAGTGAGATTGTCTGTCTGTGAGCCTGTGTACCAGTGAACTTTATGCTTGTGTCAATGAGATTGTCTGTGCCTGCATGTGAGTATGCTTACTTTTTACTAATATTTATAATTAAAAAAGGAACATACCAATGACAAAAGTATATATTTATATATCCTTTAGTGAGAATGTTAAATATTTGTTTTTAACATTTAAAATATGGCTACTTCTTGCTACCCCGATTGAGTAATTCTAATTCATAAACATAGACTTTTAATATATATATATATATATATATATATATATGTGTGTATATATATATATATATATATATACACACACACACACACACACACACACACACACACACAAACACTACCGTGGCACAGTGACTTAGTGGGCTGGCAAATTTTTTTTTTCCAGGGCTGCTTTGCATTCCCATTCCAGCCCTGGCTCTACATGGAGATGCTGAATGCTATCCACAGAGATGTATTGAATCATTGCATCTGTATGAAGAGATGCTAATTGTCACACCGGCACATTAGTTAATTGAGGCTTGCAGTGTGTATAATACAATGATATTTTCTAGCATTATATAACTGACAAGTCTCCCACTGCTTTCCCTATGGGGAAGCATTGGCTGACATCATCAAGAGTGACAGAATAGTGCAAATATGAAGGTGTTTCATTCAGGAGAACAAAATTATATACAACGTTCCAGCGACAAGCCTTAATCATGTAGGCTTGACGCTGAAACGTTGTATATAATTTTGTTCTCCTGATCCTGAATAAAACTCCTTCCTGTTTGCACTATTCTGTGAACCATTTGTAATTGATTTTAAATACTTCTAAAGGACTGTGGATCCCTCTCATGGTGCTGCAGGTGTGATTGCGGACTCTATTGGGTTTCCTGAATGCAACACTACCTTTGAAATTGGATCATCAAGATTAAATGGAGACTGGTCATCCAAGCACTATAGTGTCACAGAGACGTTTCCTATTCCTAATGTGTTCCTTTAAATTAAACATAAGGCCTCAGACTTGCAATTGTTTCTTAGCTTTTTATTTAAAGGTGTGCATAATACATTCTAAGGTATGGTCTGAAAATCATGAAATTTAACTGCACTGGGTTAGCACTAGACAACTTAATTGGTAATGTATGACTTGTCAATTTGATATTTTGTAAGTAAAGATTAGTGGGAAATGAAAGAAAAATACATTTAGTTTGATGAATATAAATAATTATCCATTGTGACTATATTCTTGCTAGCTTTCTACAAATAACAAGACTTTAAAGGTGCACTATAGGCACCAAAACAACTTTAGCTTAATTAAGCAGTTGTGGTGTATAGATCATGCCCTTGCAGTCTCACTACTAAATCCTCTGCCATTTAGGAGTTAAATCACTTTGTTGATACAGCCCTAGTCACACCTCCCTGCACAGCCTTCCTAAACACTTCCTGTAAAGAGACATCTAATGTTTACACTTCCCTTATTACAAATTATGTTTATTTTAGAATTTCTTATTTCCTGCCCTCTTTAAAGCTTGCTAGACCGTACATGAGCGCCCCGTATGTAATTAAAGTTCAATTTACAGAGCTGGAGATAACACACTTTTAAAGTAAGTTACATTGGATTGAAAATGAACATGTTTTTTTACATTTAGACAGTGTCAGTCACAGCCAGAGATGACTAAGGCTGCATAAACAGAAACTAAAGTGCTTGAACTCCTAAATGGCAGTGATACTTCAGAAGCATGAGCTATACACAAAAACCTCTTCATTAAGCTAGAGTTGTTTTGGTGACTATAGTGTCCCTTTAAATAAAAACAATTGTCGTCTTGCATTTTTGTGTACTTTCTAGGGAGCTATATGAATGTACTATACGTCATCCATGGATCCAAAAATGATAACAGTCATTCTCCTAATAATGTCTGTCTCCTGTATTGAAACTATTATTCATTGTTTGTGGAAAGTGGGTCTCTATTCTAAAGCAACTGAAAATTTAATTCTGTAACCAAGGTACTGCACTCGTTTCTGTAGAAATCGGGATAGGTATTACCACTGTGAAGAATGAAAACTAGTACATTATCAATTACCTTTGAGGAATTTGATATTTTTTTTCCACTTGAAATGTTTTTCATTTGTTTTACAGAATGCAAAAATACAGTAGAATACGTCAGCAACATACATATAGGCGTTTTGACAAAATTTGTACACAACATATTTAGCATACAATATGGCATTGACATACAAAAACATAGCAGTGTTGCTCAAGGTTATGTTATGACAGTCTATAGTCTGTAGCCAACATTATATTAAGAAAGTTGTATAGTATTTTAACTAAAATAATGATAAGAAGAACTTTAAAGATACAGGAATTATCAGCTATGCTCTATAGGAGTAGTATCAGCATATCTATCCATTTTTCTTTTTTGGATTAGGGTATGTCAGTGACTGACTGCCATCAGGGGCTACCACATTTTTTAGAAGGTCTGCGTGGTATGGTTCCATATATGCGACATTTCTTTCTATATTCGGGTCTCCGAGAGTAGGGAAGTCACCTTTCCCATTGTAGGTATCTGTGGAGGATTTCAATAGGTGACCAGTGATTTTTTTAGTAGATAGTCATTTGTGATACAATGTGTGATGGATGGATCTGGACATACTGGTGGGATAAATTTAGTATAGCAGTGCCATATGATGGCTTTGGGTTTTGCGATAACCTACTATGTTGGAAGCCAGCTAAAAAGCCTCCTCCTACAAAGGACGAATTAGCACGCAATCCCACCAATGTGGATATATGTGCCCCTCTTTCCACAATTTTGCCAACATGCCCCCATTCCCCCTCCTGCATGTGCTGCAATCTGACCGGGACCATAGAACAAATAAATAATTTGTATAGAAATTCATGCTCCGAAGTGTTAATTTTAGTAATGTAAAAGAGGAACATCACTCCTCCTCAGATATGTCACAATTTAAATCTCTGTCCCATTTTTGTTTAAAGGAACAGTCTCCTGGATGGTGGAAAGCCACCTTCTAATATGTTGAGATGCTTTTTTTGCATAGATATGTTTGAATCTTAAATGCATCAATGGTGCTAATTGTGGGTTAGTGGCAATTAGCTGGGCATTGGTTGAGGAAGCTTCTGATTTGTAAATATTGAAAGAATTCTCTGTTCAGGAGACCTCTTTTTTCTTTTAGATTTTGAAAGGTATCTATGGAATTATGTGTGCACAGATCATTCTTTGTATTAAGACCACATTCCCTCCAGGATGTTAGAGAGAGGTGTGGAACAAGTCTCTCAAAGTGCTCCATTGAAATGAAGCCTGGTAGGTAGGTCAACGGTTGATGCCATTTCCTCCCATATCATGTGTGAGTCTACAGGTTGGTAGAATATCTTTTAATTGTGGTCTTTTATCTCTGTGTGTCAGGAAGATTAATTGTAGCCTCCATGGATTAACCATTGAGACCGCCATGTCCACCCTGTGAAGCTGTTTTCATGGAGGAAACAGCAGCATGATCTGGGAGAGCAGTGCTGCTTGATAATATGCAGGGTACCACCAAGCCCCCTTCAGTCTTAGGGTGGTATAAAGTATTCTTTGAGACCCTCCTTACGTGATTAGCTGCTATAAAGTGGACATTAAGTGTGAATCATGGATCCGAAAGGGTCTGAAAGACGTAGAGGAGTATAGATAATATATTCATCTTGATGGTCACAGTTTTTCCCAGCCAAGATAGATTTCATCTATGCCATGTAAAAAGACAACTCCTTATTTTTTTCGACATGTTGAATGTTTTTTTGTATGTGTATACCTAGAAAATATAATAAGTTCTCCAGTCACTTTTTCAGATATTGTGATTTAGAAATTTTAATTTTATGATCTAATATCAAACTAAATTCAGAGAGAGTGGCTTGCAGATTGGGGAGGGACATTAATGGTTTTATTAATGAGAGCACACTATTGTCTGCAAACATATCTGGGGCTGGTATATAAGGTTTGTATGGCAGAAATCTACATGGAGGGTTAACCAAAACATTTTAGGAGCAATTGGATATTTTGAACCCATGATCTGTATTTAGCTAGAGAACAATGGAATCCTTTATGTGAATTGTTTTAATTTGTAATACTGATCTAAAATCTCATGTCGATCCTTACATAAGAGTCAACAGCCATACTTCTGATCTTATGGCATAAATCCAATTATTATTTTTCCAGTAGAATTGATGGATCTGTCATTGTAGTTTACTAACTTAATTAGTGATCAGCTCAATAGTCCACTCTACCATGTGCTACCACAAATTTATATTGACACATAAAAAATGATTCATTCTACTTGCCTTGATAATCTATACTGTGCTGGTGACTATACACCATGGGTCTGGGTCTTAGGTCCTTTTAGTGTGGTAAATCTGTTTTCTATGTGTCAATGCTGTGCACATTTTATTTATTTTGTTTAGGCTACAATCATGCTTATTTGTCTGGGTTAAGTAGCCTCTGAGATATGTCCTTGCTTTTATAATCCCTGCATGGATCAAACGTCTCTACATCTGCAATTTAACAATTGCTAGCTACACATGGTACTTAAAAGCAATTTATCTTTTTGGAAGGCACTTACTGAAGTTGGTTAAATAAAGGTCCTGTATTTCAACTAATTATAATTATGTGATAAAATTATAACTATTTGATGTAATTATGTAGTACAGCCCCCTTCATTCTGACACACCATGTGCTTGAGTCTTTAATGGTCCAGACACAGGGAAAGACCCAGTTAGATCCAATTAGCAGGTCCTGCTGCACACACCACATATACTGCTCCTTAACAAACAGAGATTCTACACCAGGGGTGGGCAACCCTCAGCACTCCAGATGTTGTGAACTACAACTCATGTGATGTATTATGGCTGTAAGATCATTATGGCAGATGTTGTCCACAACATCTGAAGTGCAGAAGGTTGTCTATTCATGTTCTGTACAATTATATCCTCAACTGTGCTGTAAAAGAACAATGAAGAGAGTGTGTGTGTGTCACTGAGTGTGTGTGTCTGTCTGTCAGTGAGTGTGTGTGTGTGTGTATGTGTGTGCATATGTGCAGATGGTCCTGCTAACTTCATGCGCTTCCTATTCCATTTCCTCGTGACTTAATGCAGTGATGGGAAGTTAAAATCGTAATCCCTCAATATTGTGGGGATCAAGGCACAGTCAAGGCTCACTCCTCATTAAAGACACTAGTATGTAAGTGATGGCTAGCTTTGACACCCCAGATGTCTGTAAGCTACATCTACAATGATGCTCATCTATCTATTGATATAGAGAGCATGCTGGGAAATGTAGTTATCCATCATATACAGTGCCACGTTTAGCCATTTAACTACTATACTGTTTTCTTTTTATTATCCATCCCCATTATAAAGGGAGCATTAAATTATGCTTGCCAATTCCCAGCTTTGTTTACTATTCTCGATAGTCATTTGTCTCTCCGTATTCAGCAATTTTGGCTTGGTCTTGACTTTCCCACTTCATTTGTCATCATCTGCTCCAACAAAAAACAACACGCTAATAATGCTTAGAAACACATTAATAACGTTTGGTTCTGATGCTACGAGGCACTGCTTTCTAATTTATGACATGACAGTCTCGGGATATTGACCATAATAAACTGTATCTGCTTCGTGCTAGAATTTTGGATTTGCAGGCATTGCGTTGTCCATCTGTATCCCCCGCTGTGTTTTCATAATAACCGGGATCAACATCCACATTGCTTAAGCAAAATTAAGGCTGCATTAATGTTAAGGGAACTAGTAGATCAACCTATTTAGCCAGTCTAGTGTGTAATTAGACTTTGATTATAATTTTCCTGCAACTATTCTCCTTATAAGTTTAAGCAAAGGAAATCAATTTTACTATTTCCAATTAAATAGCCCTGTGCTGTCTGCTCATTTAGATTGATCTCTGGTAGGAAAGGAAAAGGCACAGAATCATTAGTTTGAAAAACTCTGTTTAAAGTTGGGGGGCAGTGGGGGGGGGCAATGGAAAATTTTACAGTTTTACTTTATTATTTCTACATTTTATCTTGCTGTTGATCATCGGTAGTTTGTTTTCCTTTCTTTATTTTTTCATTACAATATCTAACATGTCTTATTTTAAATTTATTGTTGTGTAAATGCGGACTGTTTAGTTTATTGCTTTCCTTTCTCTAAAGATTATTTAAGAACTTTAATCGACCTCTGATGCTTAAAAGAGAAAAATCTGCCCTAGAAATGAATTTTTAGTATGATTGCTGCAGCAATTTTTCATATCACAGAAGTTAGAAGGAAACGGGACAATGGACAAGTGAAATCCTTAAATCAGAATTCCTTGCTAGTAGTCCAGGCTGCCGTGGTGCTTGGAGTGTCCCTTTAATTTCAATGACGATTACATATCTCTTTAAAAAGCAATTTGGGAATATATTTTATTTATGGCTTTATCACTTGTGCTAACACTTGTACTAAAAATTCCCAGGTGTGTTTTCACCTTGTCACTTCAAATTATAGTACAGCTGCTACATCGTTCCTTGTCTCAGCATTTTAAATGTCGAATGCCACTTTGGTGATTTTAATTAAACAGCTTTAAAACCAAAGTCTGAATCTAGTTATGTTTCTGGACATGCTTCCTGCAATATAGGACAATTGAACTTTTTTATTTTTGGTGGCCTCACCACTGGACTTCCCTAATTAGAGAAGATGCTGTTCTGTCCTAGAAGAAATTTGGATTGTAATGTCCAGGGAGGTTCAGTGCACTAATTCGTCCATCCTCTTTCAGGAGATAATGCTAAATACATAAAGATATTATATGTATATATGTATATCTTAAATGGTAGAATGGAAGTTTTAATATTTATTGGGTATATTCAAAAGGAGATTTACATCTTTAGTGCCAGTAGGCACAAAATATTCAGCTTGCGCCTCCCCCCCCCCCAAAAAAGTAATTTGTTGTAGAGATAATGTAAATATTGTGGGTATATATGATTGCTCTGTGTGTTATTTTTGTAGAGAACATTCACTGGAAGCTGTCCTTCAACTAGGACGTGACTGGAGCCAAAATTAAATATGGACACACAAAAATCCCCCAAAACGCTTGTATTTTAAAAGCAGCTATATGTATCATAGTGCAAAGTGAAACTCTTCCTTACCCTATTTTGTACAAATAGCAGGAGGCGTAAAGTGTCCCTATTGCATGGCTCAACAGTTTTACTTGCCCTGTATCCATTGGCTGGTGTAACTTCAAACCAGGCCAGTAGGAATTCACTCCTGGTGTTACTCACCATTAAGCTTGTAATGGTGAGTAACTTTTGGCCTGTCTTGTAGTTGTAGGACTTTACATTTTGACCAGGAGTATTGCTAGGTGTCGGAATGACCTAGGTTGTGGCCCCAAATGGGCTCCTGAAAAGTTTGGGATCTGCTTTTGACAATGTTTTCAGATTTTATTCTACTTTCCATATTACAATGTTTTATATAGAGTGTTAAATAACAGCAGATGTTAAAATAACCCCTTGTAGTGATCATCTACAAATTATTTATGCGGTGTCATTATGGAATATATTTAGGTTATGTACTTAAGGAATATTTTAACATACAGGTGATACTCGAAAAATTAGAATATCGTGAAAAAGTTCATTTATTTCAGTAATGCAACGTAAAAGGGGAAACTAATATATGAGATAGACACATTACATGCAATGATTATGGCTTACAGCTCATGAAAACCCCAAATCCACAATCTCAGTAAATTAGAATATTGTGAAAAGGTGCAATATTCTAGGCTCACAGTGTCCCAGTCTAATCAGCTAAGTAAGCCATAACACCTGCAACGGGTTTCTGAGCCTTTAAATGGTCTCTCAGTCTGGTTCAGTAGGAATCGCAATCATGGGGAAGACTGCTGACCTGACAGTTGTGCAGAAAACCATCATTGACATCCTCCATAAGGAGGGAAAGCCTCAAAAAGGTTATTGCGAAGGAAGTTGGATGTTCCCAAAGTGCTGTATCAAAGCACATTAATAGAAAGTTATGTGGAAGGGAAAAGTGTGGAAGAAAAAGGTGCAGCTAATCATCGCACTTATGACATATCACGGCTTGAACTATCTTGCTTTGCATGTAATGCGTCTATCTCATATATTAGTTTCCCCTTTTACGTTGCATTACTGAAATAAATGAACTTTTTCACGATATTCTAATTTTTCGAGTATCACCTGTATAAAAGTCAGAGTTTCAATAGCAAACAAATATCGGGTGGAGGAAGCCATAGAGCTTACCATGGATCAAGACCCCTATTTTTTGCCACTTAGGACCGCAATGTGAGGGACACTTAGCGTGCACACTTTTGGAGCTTAGTCACAAATGTAAGTATTATGGAGAGCTGAGGGGGAATTTCCAACTCCAAAACAGCTGAGCTGGAAAATTTGCTGACCTGAATTTGTTTTCCATTATTTTGGCCAATTAACCCCAGTTCTGCATTTTGCTAACAAATGTTTTTTCCCCCCTTAAATTTGACAATTTTTAATAATATTATGCAAGCCGTCTTTGGAAACGTTCTTTGTAAACAGATAATGCTAATTGGTTGCATGGTTTTGAGAGAGACAAGTGTATATAAGAAATGCTTTCACTGTGTGGGATTAGAAAGAATGCTCTCTATACTGTTACTAGTATCTAGGGAAGGAAGACTGTCATACATTAATTACACAATAAAAATGCCATGGAAACCTTTTTTTCCTCACTCCTATTGATCTCACAAAATGTCCTTGCAGAGCAGAGTCATTTTATAGCCAATTAACATGGCACCATTTTATGAAATATGCAGCCGTGGCAAATAATTGGATATTTTCAGAACAAAACAGACTCAAAAAGATTAAGAAAGCAGTTTGTGTTTATATACCTCAGCCTTCCAGGGATTGTTGTCACCTCTGCTAACTTGTGCCCTCGATTAATTTAGAGTGATATCTCCATTTTGGGATTGAGAGAGATTTTAGCTAAACCTCTGGTGGTGTCAGGATTTCATGTGAGGTGATCCTTGAATGCATTTCCATCTTTACCTGTAAGCTTGAGAAAGATTTTCTAACTTATATCTTTACTTGTAACAATGTGAAAGATTTTGTTACCTGCTCCCGGAGCTGAAAGAAAGATGGGGGGCTACAGGACAGACTCACATCAAACAGCAAAGTCAAATCAAATTTTGGAATTTATTTACTAAACAGAATTAACAACGGATTTCCAACCTTTAGCTCAAAGAAAACAAAAATTCTCCCACTCTCCTGTGTTTTAGGTCGACTAAAATGTGCTATTTTCTGCACATTTTTTGATTTATTTAATTTCACAAGTTCATGTGATTTAGTGATCTGAAACCAGAAGGGAAGTCCGCTTGCACATCCATGTATTTTTCTTTTTTTATTTTTTACTAAATTTATAGTTTGTTGCCTTTTGCGAGTGTTTTGGACACAGTGACAGAAACATCATAAGCAGATGATGAACAGAGAAAAAAAAAACATACATCACAAAATACATATAATAGTAACAAGAACAGAACATCTAATTTAAGGTCCACTTATCAACAAAGTCAAAAATTCAGCACTTATAAGAGGATATTTGGCAGAGTAGTAATTAATCTGGTGGCAGAAGGTAAGGGCTTTTGCACCAATAGACACCAGTTCAAATCCAGGAAATATCCAGGTATTATTATACATAATTAATTAGGTCCTTTATTAAACAGACAGTCATAAAATTGAGTTGGTCCTACTGATGTGAATCTTGAGTACTGAAGATTTAAATCTTAAAAATCATAAAAATCTAGCTTTCCTGCTGCTACTAAATTAAGTGAGATAGAGACAGGGTGGGGATGGCTGTGACAAGGTGTGGGTAGGAAGGCTGTGAGAGGGTAGGGGGGCTGTGAGAAGGTAAAGGGGCTGTGAGAAGGTAGGGGCTGTGAGAGGATAGGGGGCTGTGAGGTGTGTAGGGGGCTAGGTGGTGGGAAGAGGGTCTGTAAGTGAGTAGGGGGTCTGAAAGTGGGTGTCATATTCCGGCTCCCGGCATCACACTGCGACGTGTGAGGGAGCTGAGCAGGGAGCGCTCACAAATGCTTTGTGGGCAAACAAGTCCTGCAGGACCACTAACGGGAACAGCGTTCCGGCTGTGGAAAAAGTGCAGGAACGCCGTTCCAACGCGTTCCTACCCACACCTTGTCCAACGCGTTCCTGCAGGACTCGAGCCCTGCTGATGATCTTCCTATGATGTCACACTTAATGTGTCCTAATTTACTATTTTTGCTTTGTAAAATTATTGGGAAATGTAATACAAAGAAAGGAAAAAAAATGGCAGTTTTAATATGAGTTTAAAAACTCCAGCCTCAATGCTTTGCATTGCATTGCTAACATTACTGGTGCCTAGCAGTGATTGACTTTACTGAAAATAAAGTATTGACCAGTGTTCATCAGCATATTCTCTAAAAGTCAGAAAAGATTCACTACCTGATGTTATTGGCTTACACATTAAAGCATTGTGGGTAAACCTTAAACCAGGGGTTGATAACCTTTGACACTTCAAATGTTGTGGACTGCATCTCCCATAAAACTCCTACAGCCCTAATGCTGGCAAGGCATCGAGGGAGATGTAGTTCACAACATCTTGAGTACTGAAGCTTGCCTCCCTCTGCCCTAAATCCTGGACTATTAAGGTCATTGATAACCATCACTATCATGTACTTATTTCGAGGTCAGCTGGTAAGATGGCTCAGTTGGTTAAAGCACTGACTGTAGTATCTCAAATCTTATTCCTCCATTGTAAACTCAGTGTTTAATCGTTTATTCCTCTGATGTCAATAAAGCGAATAACATCTGTCAAATGCAACATCTGTTAGTCCTCTGCTGCTTTGGTTTAAAGTCTGAGGGTGTTTTGAGTGTCCTTCAGGGGATAATGTCCTATGTAAGTAGGTATTATTCTTAGACCCCATACACTGAATGATAAAGAGTTCCATATTTGCATCTGTTGCCACTTATTGCGTGTATAAAGTGTGGTTCAAAAATTGAGACAATAAAATGTATTTTCCATTTCCTTCAAAATCTATTTTCTGTTTGAGTATATTAGAGCTAGTGCTATTTTTCTGTTTGGCAATGGTTCTTTGTTCAGGTAAAAATAATGAGAATGTCTGCAAAACAATACGGCGAAATAGAGTAAGTTTTGTATCATAAAATAGTCTTAGTGCTTTTTTATGTCACTCATTCTCGAGTGACCTACTGTAAAGTAGTCAGAAAAGATAGTGTGACCTACGACCTCTAAAGAAATACAGCATTTCATGTCTAACCGGTCCGTAATTTACTGGAATGGACCTACAGTTTAAAAGCCATTATCATGTCAGCCAGCTGTGTCCTCTCATGGTCAAATCCCACACAGTTCTATTCATTCACGTTGTAACACAGGATAACATTGTTTCTTAATGGAGAATTGTGTCTAAATTCACAATGTTTTGCATTATACTTGTTATGCAACATTTAAACAAAGATATATGAATCTTCAAACCCAAGGTTATGACTCAAGGTTTATATATTGCCATTTCTTTCTAAAAATGCATTTGCTATTATCATTATTTTCTACAAGCATTAAAATTTTATACTTCGAGGAGTTTATTTACTTAGCATTCACATATGGTGATTTCGCAACCAGATTGTGTGCATTCATATATACCAACTCTCCCGGATCTGATGGGACAGTCTAGCCCTCATTCAACTGGGCTTGATTTCTGGTATACATTTATAATAAAAGAATGGAAAAGTCCATTCTAAGTGCAGGGTGAGCATGTCATTAAATATTTTCTCTCTGCAAAATTAACTGAGTTTTCCTACCAAAAGGAGAACAACCCTGATTGTGGCTGGAAATCATGACTGCAGATTAGGTATCCATGGAAGCTGACATTTTCTTTTCTGGAGGGCCTGTTCCTATCACAACACTAATGTTGAGCATCGCCTCACTGGCATCCCTGCACTCCACCCCCCCTCCCCCTCCCCCCCCCCCACTGCCTCATATCCTTTGTAACCCACTTGCATATCTAACAGTGTTGGAAGGTAGGAAACTTAAAAAGACAAAATAAGCCAAGTTTGAATAAAGCAGGCAAGGATAGAATTCTAGCTCATTTGATTTGTTCTAAATAATACATAAAGCTATCCAGTAATAAAATTGCTATAATAGTAATCTTTATTTATGTTTTCTGTATACCTAATGCAATAACGAAAACTAAAAACAGGACCACTTAATAAGATACTATGGTCATACACCTGATACAGGGTAACTTGTTGCCTTTAAAGCATCCAGAACAGTTTAGTACAATCCATGGGTTTCAGGTGTATAACTCCCGAGCTGTGCATAGTGGAATAAGGCATTGTTCTGTAAGGAGAATGACCTTGAACTCTGAACTCCAGGACTTCTTTTAAAGACTCAATGACATTTAGATCTGAGGTTTTGGAAGAGTCGATGGAACATGTTTTTATCATGGTGTTAATAAACACCATGCTAAAGTTACTTAGGCTTATTGAGATTATTAGCTTCTCGGAGCAGAGCTGGTCTAAGATCCCACAAGGTCCTAGGCAGGTTACCAATTTTAGGTCCCTCTTATTCCATTTTAGTATTATGGGGGGTAAATCTGGACAAGTTTGTCAAAGTAGGTTCTTGGCTACTGACTAGTAACTTTTTCATGTATTTGAATTTTATATAAGCAGTTTATGTAATGTCCTTGAATACAGTTTTTACTGATAACGGTGGTCATATTGGATCTGATACTGTTCCTTATTCTTTATTTAGTCTGTATTTTTGGGCAATGTGGAAACTATTCTTTGATATCTCTGTAAGTCAGTAATCTTCAATTCAAAGAAGAATGAAAACGGTTATTCTTTGCTGATGCAGTTTATCTGTGTGGCATACATTGACATTCTTTTTTGGATAAAAAAAAGCAACAGTGTCTCTTCTACAATTCCTTTAATAAAGAATCACTGTTGGAGTTAGATGTGAGAGGGACCATGTATATTACTTCTCTAATGCTAATCTGAGTTCCTGGCTGTGAGGCCATGTGTACCCTCGTCCTGTAGCTCACCCTTATTAGCTGTGTTTGCTAATTATTTTCTAAAAGCTCCCCTTTTCAGTTGAATCCTTTCCTGGTCTTGATGTAATACACCTGCAATTTAGGAACTGGCTTTTTTGCCTCTTTGAAACTCCGGTAATTGTCTTGTATTGCTTTGAAAACTCGTGAAGGTGCTACTAATTGTCAGAACTCTATATTATTATTATTATCGCCATTCATATAGCGCCAACAGATTCCGTAGCGCTTTACAATATTATGAGAGGGAAATTTAACTATAAATAGGACAATTACAAGAAAACTTACAGGAACGATAGATTGAAGAGGACCCTGCTCAAACGAGCATACAGTATATAGGATAGCTGACACATGTTAATAATCAGCAAGCAACCTAATATGATTCACCTTAGCAGATGCATTTGTAATTACCTCAAAGTTCCTTTTCCATGTCATGTTTCCATTCTGTACGTCATTTTATTAATCTGACATTAGAGTGCTTTCTTAGTTAAACAAAAACACAAGTTGAAAATCAGGACAAAATCTTCTCTCCCCATTAGTTTCCAGATTGTTTAATCGTTTATACATGTTAGGGGATTTACTTCTTATTTCATGATGACGGATATGTACCTTGTTTTAAAGGGACACTATAGTCACCTGAAGAACTTTAGCTTAATGAAGCAGTTTTGGTGTATAGAACATGCCCCTGCAGCCTCACTGCTCAATCCTCTGCCATTTAGGAGTTAAATCCCTTTGTTTATGAACCCTAGTCACACCTCCCTGCATGTGACTTGCACAGCCTTCCATAAACACTTCCTGTAAAGAGAGCCCTATTTAGGCTTTCTTTATTGCAAGTTCTGTTTAATTAAGATTTTCTTATCCCCTGCTATGTTAATAGCTTGCTAGACCCTGCAAGAGCCTCCTGTATGTGATTAAAGTTCAATTTAGAGATTGAGATACAATTATTTAAGGTAAATTACATCTGTTTGAAAGTGAAACCAGTTTTTTTTTCATGCAGGCTCTGTCAATCATAGCCAGGGGAGGTGTGGCTAGGGCTGCATAAACAGAAACAAAGTGATTTAACTCCTAAATGACAGTGAATTGAGCAGTGAAATTGCAGGGGAATGATCTATACACTAAAACTGCTTTATTTAGCTAAAGTAATTTAGGTGACTATAGTGTTCCTTTAACCCCTTAAGGACCAAACTTCTGGAATAAAAGGGAATCATGACATGTCACACATGTCATGTGTCCTTAAGGGGTTAATATTGTTTCAAAAGCTTTTAAAATGAATTATTATTCTGAAAAATATTTTAATTAAAAAAAATCGATATTTTTTGATATACTGATATTTTTTAAATATATGTATATATTGATATTTTCATATTTTTTAAATATAATTTCAAAAGTTTATCCAAACATAGTAAATCACGTGCAAAGCTCATCCAACATTATTAAACTGAGCCCACGGTTCCTTATCTGGGGTGGGTGGGCACTTTATCATATAACTGTTCATTGTACAATTTTAACAAGAATTATGCTTGGTATTGATTCATAGCTATTTTTCTCTTGCATTGCATTACTGCTTTTATAACACTATCCAGAATAATTGTCACATGCTTGGTACTGCCTTCATATTAATGGTATCTGTTTGGCATTGGTGTTGGAGATTGCACTCTCATTGTGGTGCAATTCTTCTAAATTTATTCTAGCAAATTCACAAGTGAAGGTTATGAATTAGACATTCCAGACCCAACTCAGGCATGTGTGTAACATCAATAATGTATCGACTGACTGGACCTGCCTATCGCGGGTAGTTACAATTCTAATTTACAATCTATGTAGTTGGTCAGATATATGGACGTGTCATGTATTACATATGAGTTACATACGTGTAAGTGTTTTTGAGAGAGGAAATATGTCAGATCCAGGTGTTTGCTAGATTGTTTTATTCCTTTACATGAGCTGAAAACATACTGAAGACCTAATGCAGGTTTTCTTTTATGAAGACAGGGCCAACCATGTAATTATGGGTATGGTGCAGCTGACATTTCATCAAATTTTGCTCAGGGCAAAAAAACTAAACAAAATAAAAAAGAGGAAAAAAAAGAAGAAATAGCAAGCCTAGCATAGCGCTGGTAATCCACAGGTGTTCGGAGTAGAGATTTCAAGAACAGCAGATAATGAGGAAAGTGCAAAATTACAAAGGAAAGATTGTTTCCAACATTTTCTTGATAACAGTTCATCATCACATTGGGGTCTGCAACGGCAAAAATGATAAACAATGGTGCTTAAAGATTTTCGGTTTATATTACCAACGTTAGATAGTGTTTCAGAGCAGGATTAACCAAAAGATGACCATAGACGGCTGCCTAGAGCCCCAGGAGTTAGACAAGGGCCACAACACCATTCATTTTCTGAGCCCCATTCACTATCACTATGTAAAGAATAAAGGGCCCAAACCGGTAACCTATCTGGGGCCAAATCTTTCTCTATCGTGTTTACCATCAATATATTAAGATGTAGCATTGACAATGTCAGTGCATATGCTGTTTAAAGACATCCATAGGGCCAAAACTTGTTATCAATGGCCCAAAAACAGCATGGGAAGTTTTAACTGATAATTTTTTTAATCCCTGATTTATGCACTACTTTTTCCCACTCCCAAGTGTTAGTGCTTTTACCCTACCAGAAAGAGTTTGTCTATAATTCCCCAGTACTCAATACATCTTGAATTAATTATTAAATATGTCCAAGATGCTGGTCTTCCGAAGGAGTGTAAGGAGGAAAGCTGTCTTTGAATGGTTGTATTTTTTACCTGGGATCCGCAGAGCGCAGCTCCCCGTCTCCACAACAATCCTGCCATGCTACACAACCAATATAGAGGAAAGTTATTTTTCCCAACATCCTTTGCTGAAAGCCATCGGGGGGGGGGACACCTACCCTTCCACTCGGGGAGAGTGTGATGCTTGGAAGAGACACAATACAAATGATCTTTCTTTATAAAGTGGCTGCTTTAAATTTAAAATAAAAAAAAAAAGCCAATATCCCCATGCTTCCTTCACTAACTGGGATTTGGGGTTAAATAGGCCACATCGATAGCTTCAGCTGTCCAGAACCCCCAACAACAACATCTATGGCGCCAGGGCACTATTGCGAGCTGTATTGGTGATGGTGCTTGGAATGTTCCTTAAAATAAATTAAAAAATAAATAAATAAAATTATAAACTTGAAATTCATGTAGTTATTGTAAATTCCCACACTTTGCAGCTTCTGCAGTGACCTCTGCCTAGTCCATGTATTGACTCAGCTATTCATGGTATTATTAAAAACCCTGAAAACGTTACTACAACTGCCAGAAACCACTACTGTCAATGTCTCTCAGGATAGTACAAATACATGTATAGAATAAGAGAAGCATAGAGACAGGATTGGTGTGACAGTTAATTGTTAATTGACCTATAAAACGACATGTATAGGAAGAGAAGGACATCTTTGCACCATTAAAGGACCACTATAGGCACCCAGACCACTTCAGCTCAATCAAGTGGTCTAGGTGCCAGGTCCCCCTAGTTTTAACCCTGCAGCTGTAAACATAGCGATTTCAGAGAAACTGCTATGTTTACACTTAGGGTTAATCCAGCCTCTAGTGGCTGTCTCACTGACAGCCGCTAAAGGCCGATTCCGCGATTCTCACTGTGAAAATCACTCTGAGTAATGCTTTCCTATAGGCAGTTTGAATGCGCGCGTGGCTCTTGCCGCACATGCGCATTCGGCGCTGACGTCGGCAGGAGGAGAGGTCACCAGCGTTGAGAGAAAGGTAAATGGCTAAAGGTGTTTTAACCCCTTCAGCCCAGCGTGCGAGGGGCCCTGAGGATGTGGGGGGACCTAATGACCCTATAGTGCCAGGAAAACGGGTTTGTTTTCCTGGCACTATAGTGGTCCTTTAACTACCTGAAGGACACATGTTTTGGTGCTTGGAATGTCTTTATAAAATATATGATTTATTATATCACATATTAACAATGAGTGTCTTTTATTGCACAAATGATCTATACACGTCTTACGTTTGTGTGTCGTAAGAACATATAGATGTCCACATGTCATGTCAACTTGCCTTTTCTGAATGATCCAGGTGTCCAGTACATTTCCTATTTTTGGTGTCTAATGTATTATTATTATTTTTATTTTTTTGAGAAGATGGAATTTTGATAAATGCATATGTCCTTATGAACAATTGTGTGCTATTTACCATGAGATGATTATCTTTAAGTATTCATGTTCCTTTAAAATGTTCACTGCTCGGCAGCTTGAAAGCACTTATAGTAAAACTAGCATCATTTTAGGCAGAGGGCTTTACATGGGCAATGCATGCCTTCTGCTGGGCCTCCAGCTGTCTGCTTAATGGCATCCTGGGACTAACTGCACAGTTTACACATCTTCGCTGAAGAAATTCCCAAAATAGCGGCTCTCTTGATGTCTGTAACAGCTCTAAGTCCATAATAACAGCAAAATAAGATGGTGTTCATCTTAAACACATTTTTATAGTTTATTAAAAAAAAAAAAAGACTCTTACAAAAGTTACTAATATGAATGATAGCTTATTTTAATGGTGATACATTAAATCAAGGACTTAGAGAACACCAGGTGAGAGGTATAGTCAGCTACATTTCTAAAAATGTATTTAACTATTTAAGTGCCTAAGAATGAATCAGTGTTGTTTAACCATGTTCTTTATCTGTACCCTGATCAGATACATGTGTATCATGTGCGACATATAACTGAGGGGGACAAAGAGACACACAGAGGGGCTAGGAAGAGAAATAGACACACAGAGTGGCTGGGGGAAGGAGATGCAAAGAGGGGCTGGGGGAGAGAAAAAAACACACTAAGGTGCTGGGGGAAGAGACACCCAAAGAGGCTGAAGAAGGGGAAAATGAGACACACAAATGAGTTGGGGGAGAAAGAGGCACATAAAGAGGATGGGAAAAGAAATAAACACACAAAGTTAATTTTAAAAATATATATTTTTAGTTGATTTTGCCAAGGGCATAAAATAGTCTTGCACTGGCCTTGTCCCTGGAATAGGTTGAGGTTGTTAAATTGAAGCAACATTCCAGAATGCATCTGTCAGAGCATCGTACAAAAATCATCATAATATTTTGTACATAATAGTTTCTACAAATAAATAAAATTACAAAAAGCATTGGCTGTATAGTGCCAGCCTCCTTTCTTCCATGTTCAAGAGGATGTGTTGAGTTAAAGGGACACTATAGTCACCCAGACCACTTCAGCTCAATGAAGTGGTCTGGGTGCCAGGTTCCCCAGGTTTTAAAGGACCACTCCAGGCACTCAGACCACTTCAGCTTAATGAAGTGGTCTGGGTGCCAGGTCCAGCTAGGGTTAACCCATTTTTTTCATAAACATAGCAGTTTCAGAGAAACTGGGTTAAGCCGTCCCCTATTTCATTGACAGCCACTAGAGGCGCTTGCGTGCTTCTCACTGTGATTTTCACAGTGAGAGCACGCCAGCGTCCATAGGAAAGCATTATGAAGGAGAGCTCTCCGCCCCGGGGCTGGAAAAAGGTAAGTTAACCCCTTTCCCCTTCCAGAGCCGGGCGGGAGGGGGACCCTGAGGGTGGGGGCACCCTCAGGGCACTATAGTGCCAGGAAAACGAGTATGTTTTCCTGGCACTATAGTGGTCCTTTAACTCTGCAGATGTAAACATAACAGTTTCATCTGAAGGGTTTCAGCTTTATTCTGCTTTTAATGAAGAAATAACTTCATGTCTGTATCTTTCTGGTGATGCACATTTTTTATTAAAATGCTGACAACACAAACAAATGTTCTATAAACTCTCCGTGCCCAGGGGTTTATGGGATATGGTACTTGTCTCCAACGAAAAGAACTGTATAGCCTTAGATGTCTCATTAGATTATATTCCTACCAGAGGTCACTGCAGAAGCTGCAAAGCCTGGGGATTTTGTAGCAACCAAGGGAGAATTGAAAGGAGTATTTTATTTATATTAGTTTATCTTTATTTTAAATACATTTTCTCTGCCTAGCTCTATCATGTATTATAAAGGGGGAGAGACGGACATTGACTCCATTTATATGTGTATCTTTCTTTTAATGTTTATACCACACAATATATTAAATAAATAAAACCTTGAAACAAAAAATGGAATGGTGCTGTTTTTAAGGCAGAAAGCTTTAATTTCTTCTTTTTTTTTTAGCTCTAGCATTGGTATTTCCTGTTAAATTTTTTTGCTAAATACCTCACATGTTAGCTATTAAACAGTCGAACGGAAAGGAATTTTTATTTAGGTCAAATAACTATCATAGAAGCAAATGTAACCATGAACATATGATGTTAATAAAATGAGTATCAGTCTGTCTGTTTTTCTTTTCCGAATTCCTTTAAATGGGCTGGGTATCATGGGATATGTAGTTCAATAATATCAGGGACGATGAGGTTAGCCTTCACTGCATTAGCAAATAAAATCTACTTAATCCTTTCCACGACCAAGGATCTATGAAAGTGCTAAACTATTTAAAGTTAACATTGGGATATAATTATTTAAATTTCGTTAAAAATAAAGAAAAAAATGTCAAAGAAAAATAAATATTCTCCGATTTAACTACAGTCACAGCTTGGCTATTTTGGTTCAGTTTTGCCATTTGTTTTGCGTTCTGCTACTATTCAAAGCTCTTGCTCTTGCCGCGCGTGCGCATTCAGCCGACGGGGAGGAGAGGAGGAGGATAGCTCCCCGCCCAGCGCTGGAAAAAGGTAAGTTTAACCCCTTTTCCCCTTTCCAGAGCCTGGCGGGAGGGGGACCCTGAGGGTGGGGGCATCCTCAGGGCACTATAGTTCCAGGAAAACAAGTATGTTTTCCTGGCAGTATAGTGGTCCTTTAAGTAAAATAATAGATCAGGGTGGTGCAGTAGACGTTGCTTACCTAGATTTCAGTAAGGCTTTTGACACTGTTGCACATAGAAGGCTTATCAATAAACTGCAGTCTTAAGGTTTGGATTCTAATATTGTAATGCAGTGGCTTATTGACAGGCAACACAGGGTTGTAGTCAATGGAGTATATTCAAAGCATGGTCTTGTCACCAGTGGGGTACCTCAGGGATCTGTACTTGGACCCATTCTCTTTATTATTTTTATTAGTGATATTGCAGAAGGTCTTAATGGTAAGGTATGTCTTTTTGCTGATGATACTAAGATATGTAACAGGGTTGATGTTCCAGGAGGGGTTCCAGGAGGGGTAAGCCAAATGGCAAATGATTTAGGTAAACTAGAAAAATGGTCAGAGTTGTGGCAACTGACATTTAATGGGAAGAGTACAGAATATTTGATAGAGTCCTAACCTCAACATCTGAGAAAAGGGATGTAGGTGTAATTATTTAAGATGACTTAAAGGTAAGCAGACAATGTAATAGAGCAGCAGGAAATGCTAGCAGAATGCTTGGTTGTATAGGGAGTGGTATTAGCAGTAGAAAGAGGGAAGTGCTCATGCCATTGTACAGAACACTGGTGAGACCTCACTTTGATAGCCCTAGCTGTAGTGCCTGTAGTCTTCTTACAGGTCTTCTCCGAGACACTACTGTCTTCTCTAATTATTTGTGTCTGACAAACATTGGCAAAAGGGACCGATATGCTCACCTTGAGTGGTGGTCTCTTTTACCTGTGTAAAAGACAAAACTGTCCAGAGTTCAATCTTTCAGGGTGACTGTTGTGTGATGTCATACAATATCATGGTACAATGATTCTGCCATCTTGGTTTAAATGTCTCTTTCATCACTCTACCTCTCTACCTTTGCTGTATGCAAATCTTTTACCTTACTCTCCCGGTGACATGTTTTAATTGTTCCTTTAACCATCTCCACCTCATTGCACCAATTTTCCTCGTTCCCTTCTCCAGGCCCGTCTTTACTCCCAACCTCATTCCAAACGTCTTTCTACCTGCCTCTCCCATGCCATCTCTTTTTAAATGATTTCTGTTCCTACACGTTATGAAAATGAAGGGATCCATGATGGAACTGTCACGTGGCAAAAATATCTAAATTGCTTTGGGCTTGAAGTCCCCAACATCCTAACATAAAATGAGATTAAAGCTTTCAAATTACCAACTATTATACAAAGTGCTGGTGACAGACTTCTTTTGCTGCAAAATCTCATTTAGAAGAAAATGTACACTTCATGCTCTTCTAAATATATAACTTAGTACAAATCAATTTTAGGTAGTGTCAGAAATATTCATGAAAGCAAACCCAGCAAACCCACATATTAATATATATTAATGGCCCACTAAAGTGAGTTTTTGTATGAGGCACGTATGTAATACTAAAAATATATTCTAACAACAAATCTCACAACCATTTTTCAGTAGGAGATTAAAAACATTCCAGAGTAAAGTTATTATTTTAACAGTAATAGTACATGCAAAAAAAAGCAAATACTCTTTTTTTTTACAGTAAGACAGCTTTCAGTGAAAAATCAGTGTTTACATTGTTGCCTAGTAACACGTCTAGTGGCAGTCACTCAGACGGCCACTAGAGGTGCTTCCTGTATCAGTGCTGCACTGTGTACAGCTCCTATGTTCAGCGTCTCCACGCTCTGCACGCTCTGAAAGCTGCCCTATATGAGGAGGTGCTGATTGGCGCAGAGCAGTGTTTTGCTGTGCGTACGCAAAAGCCTCCCGATGCTTTGCTATAGTATAAGGAATTACCAAATTCTCACCGTCTGCACCATACGGTTTCACATTCGGCATTGACTGTAGGGTTTACGAGATTTCAATTTCCTTCCTAGATTGAGATGAGTCGATATCCAGATATGAATCAGTGATACACTATATTGTCACTGTTACATTAAGGTACATACTGAAGGTTATTTGTGCTGGCTTTGTTTGTGCTGTTTTGATGCTGTGTTGTTTTACGTTACCACCACTAGCTGTCAGTAGAATGCTACAATTCATTTCCAGAATAGCAAATCAAGCCTTCAAACATTAAAATACAGTCAAAGAGTAAATAAAAGAGAAAATGGGTGATTAGACTGGAATAGAATATTATAGCAAGCCACACACTGGTGAATTAAAGTAAATGCAAAGCGTAGCATTGTCTGATATTAGGTAGCCATTTACATCAGCCAAGCAAGCTTCTCCAGATATATTCCCAATGATCTAGTCATGGTGCATCCAAAAGAACGCTCGGCTCAAAAATCATTTTTGCAGTCAAACAGGAAAATGGTACAGCAGCTGCAGATGTTTCTCTGCTCCTCTTTTATTTTAACACCTTCAAATATGAGAATGCCAAAATTGTTGCTGGCCAGGTGTGGACCTCAGCTTCTCCAACTGTTCTCCAACAATGAAGTAATATGTTTTCAGAAGAGGCCTGTGTGCATCAAAAGGCTCAGGTGTTGATTATATTGGTTATTAGCTCCAGGCAATTATAAAGCACAGTCTTTAGGAATAACAATTACATTTTTTCATACAATTCAATGGCTTCACAGCGATTTTGGCCCAAATAGCTGATTTTGAAAATTGTCCAAATCAGCAGCAATCGTCACCATTTGGAATATTTCAGCCTGAATATTTAAATGTGGTTTTAATATACTATCCTTAATAAACTGAAAACCACTTATTAACAAGTGAATTGTAATCAATGGATAAAGGATTAAAAATTTGGCATAGGTGGAAAGCCTTTTTTAAAATCGGTTCGTTTTGTAACTCTGTTATCTTGGCCTATATTTTGCATCAAACGTTTCATGTGTTTGAATGTCTATCATGGAAATCTATGAGAGAATCTGTGCAAGTTAATGAGAACTCATTTGATGTGAATATGCCAGATAAAATCATTTATTGTATTGTATTGTATTATAGTTGGAGATATGTTTTTTTTTTTTTATTATTAAATTGCTGCCTGCTGTTAGAAATATGATGGGAAGATGGGGAAAAGGGTGCTTATTGCAATACAACCCTGGTAAGGACCTTGGTGCTTGGAATGTTTCTTGAACAACATCATATTATATACAATATTTGTTAAATTTACATTCTATTATCCAGGATGAGTTACTGAAAAAAACATACTTACAAGGATCCCTGTTTGCATATCTTTATTAGCTCAGGAGGCTTCACCCCTACTTTGAGTTGTGGGGCAGAAAGGCAGCGAAAAGAGATACTAATCAGCATAGTTTCCTTGTGGCTCATACCGTAATAAACTAGAAACTGTGGGAATGATGGCACACATCGTTACAAGGCACTGCTCAGAACCATATATCTCAATTCTGCTACAGAAAAAAGCTACGGCTCTGGAGCTTCTGGGAACCAGAAAGCCACTGCTTCCTTCCTAGACTATGGCCAAATGTTTTAGACAGACACAGCTAAAATTAAAGCAACGCTGTCACTTCTGAGCTTTTCATAAAGATAGAATTTATTGTGCCAGTGCAATCAAAAGATATATATGAGACAAAATAAGGATCTTTGTCTTGTGTAATTGCCAATCTTTGGCCGTTTTTCTTCTACCATTTCCTGTCGTTTGGTGGGAACAGGCATCATTTCTAGAAGAACACAATAGATGACTATGTCTCCTTATTGTGCATGATTATCTTTGGTCTTGTGGTGTCATCTTCATCCTCGAACCTCCTAAAAACCTGTATGGTAAGAGTTAGATTATCTCATCATTATCAAACATTAAGCATATTACAGATAGCCAGATAGTTTCTTACTTGACCTTCTCAAGACTTGAACAAGTCTAGTAATTAACACTAGCTAGCTTGGCACACCTAAAGACACAGTAGCAAAGCTTAATTAGGACACCTTAGTTCCTAGGAAGGTTGCCTAATTGGGACCCCCACCTAGAGCCCTGTGCATAGTGTTTCATACTCTGCCACCCAGAGTATCTCTCCATATCCCCCCTCATATTTCTGTTGGTTGCTTAAGTACTCACACCTGAGTCAATAATTGGTATTGCATGTTTGGGGTCTCACACTCTATCTGACTGAATGTTGAAAGTTGGTAAAGAGCATTTTTTTAAGTTTCTCTATAGATTCCCTATTGAATTGTGCTTTGATTAGCCATTTGAGAACACTGGGGATCTTGTGACTGTGTTTTTATCCTGGTGGAAGGTGAACATCTAACAAACACTTATTTACAACTAATAGTGGTGAAAAGAATAGCTCAACACTCCGTAGGTGATCCCCTTAATCCCCACTACAGAAGGTGAACATCTGCCTGTCTCAGGTGTCATGCAGAACAAAATAAGTTTTTCTCTATAATTGCTCTATATGTGGCTTCAACCATCTTGCCATCAATCCCGGCCAGTCCCGCTGTTCCAGACATGGAAAAACCTCACCGATATTACCAAGCTTTGCACCACACAAGGTATTTTGTACAAAGGACAATATGTTCATCAGTGTCTAATCAAGCCAGAGAACACTTTTCCACATGTTTGCTGTGTCTATTTCATTCCATTTGGCAAATTCCAAGCAGCATTTCATATGTTTTATTTTTTTTCGTCTTGACGTCTAGAATTGTGTAACATCTGAGTTATGGTTGTTCCATCAGAGCGACATATCTCTACAGCTGCCACTTGCCTCCCCAATTGTCAGGTCCCCACTCCCCGGCTTACTTACCTTGCGCTCCTGCAACGCGTCTCCCTCTACAGAGATGCTGCACTGGAACGCGACTCCCTGTGCAGTGGGGCCTGCCCAGCCACCAACGCCGGCCGCTTGCCTTCCTCCAGACACTGCCGCCTCACGAGCACAGCTGCACTGAATCTGGAGGTTTGGAGGAATAATATTGCTTGCGCCGAAGCAAGGTCTTTTAAAGAGACAGGAGGCGGGAAACAAATAAGGGGGTGTGAATGAAGGAAGAGCTACAGTAAGTGGACTATTCCCTATTTAAACTCCACTAACTCTTGACTTTTTGCTCAGTTATACTCTGCTCCTGTTGTGTTAATACCGTCACTGCCTGTCCTGTTTGATCCCCTGATATTTGATTCCTGCTTGCCTCCTGACTACAACCTGTGCCGCCTGTCCTGACCTGACCATTCTTTGTATTGACCCTTTTGTATTGCGTTCCTGAGTGAGTTACAGACTTGTCTGCATATTGGGCTTCGTCTCCTAAACAAGTTCTGACACTAGTTTTCTCTGACCTATGCACTCCTTCCCACTCACTGGGATTTGGCAAAGTTGTGGCTGTGTCATAATCTTAACCCCTTAAGGACACAACTTCTGGAATAAAAGGGAATCATGATGGAATATTTCCATCATGTGTCGTTAAGGGGTTAATTTTTAAAACAGTGGATTTATGGTGCTCTAGAGAATGTTCAAAATTTGGGGATTTTTTTTTTTTTTTACGAGCGCATAAAGAAGAAACACTCTTCACTCAAGTCATGGTTTCAGGAGTAATTAGCTACAGAAGACATTAGGAAGAAGTAAACTTTTATTTAATTTTTCAAAGTAACATTAAGGCACAAACAGATAGAGGAAACATTTTAAGCATTTTTTTACCAAGAGGTGCTTGCTGACAAAGAGCATATTTTTTTTTTTTATTTTATAGTCCACCCCTGATTGGTACCTGTACAAAACCTAATTCCCAACTTGTTTTAATAACATGTTGGTCCTCATGATGCTATAGATCAGGGGTATCCAGCTACAACTCCCATGATGCTTTGCATGCCTTTAGAAAGCCTTTAGAATGACAAAAGATCATGGAATCTGTATTTTTAAAACATCTGAAGATCTACCTTTTCTGCACCCCTGGTATAGATATTCTCTAATAATTGACTACTAGAAACAAGTGTAATACAATATATTTTGAGATCATGTGACAGACAGATGGGCTCCATTAATTTATTATTATATTATTAAATGACTTATGCATATCACTGGTTTAACCAAAGCATGGAAGTTAAATAAATATAGATTTTTTGTTTTACTACAGAAAGAAAAGGATAAAAAAATCCTTTGCAAATTTAAATTGGTATGTTTGGGCAAAGCAAGTGGTAAACATTTCAGTAAGATCAATATTAATTTCAGGTTGTGACTCTACAAAAGTGGTACCATCTAAAGGGAGTGAATTGGCATACAAATAACCATAAGTTTTATTTTTTCCGTTACTGTCGCTTTCATTTTTGACAAGTTAGAGCTTTTAAAAACTAATTTAGTTACCGTTTAGTGAGTCACTACATAAAGTATTCGTGATAGTTTGTTAAAGACTACGCTTTTTCAAACATCGTAGGTTCAGCTCCTTTAGAATGCTTACATTAATGGAGAAACGACAGTGAACAAACTGTAATTATATACGTAGGGGTTTATTTACTGTCTATTACAGAGATTCACCTAAATGTGAATTTACTGTCTATTACAGAGATTCACTCTAAGGACTGATTTCTCCTAAATGTTAGACTAAGCAATAGATAACATCTCCCTGCCCACCCCCTCCCAAATTTCATCTGTACACACTGCAACCTGTCTCACCAATATTTTTTGTAATGTATAATTTATAAAGAGAAGATTTATATAAGAACAGCTGGTTCATTTCTTTGACCCACACAAATGATATTTCCTTAAAATTGCATTTTGTATAGTTTGTAGCGGGCGTGAGTTTTTTGTACGCAGCGAGAATTTTAACAAAATTGAGCTCTGGTGTAACAAATTGCAAAATGACTTGTAAGCAGCATTGGTATTCTAAACGTGTTGTTTTTAATTGTAAGCCATCAGTGCTGTATAAGAATAAAGCAAAAATAAGCAGAATAATTAAATCTAAAGTTAAAGATTTTAAATGCCTAGCAGATGTTGTGACTTTGAAAACTTTTTCAGTATATAACTAGCATCACAGTTCAATAAACTTAAAGTAACAATCTGACACAATAGTTTTGTTGATTTATCGTTGTTATATTTTATGTCGATTTATCGTTGTTATATTTTATGTCGATTTATAGTTGTTAGATTTTATATTGATTTATAGTTGCTAGTTGCTATAGCTGCAATATAGGGCAGCATTGTATACTGCTAGTCAGTGAACGATGGTGGCTGAATTGGTTGCTTCATTGCTTGGGAAAAGTCAGTCAGTGAAGCTAATCTCATCTGTTAATAGTCCTTGTAAACTAAAATAAAGTAACCATTTCTTTAAATGGGAGTTGTTTTTTGTGACCTCAAAATTTTACTATGCATTTGACAACATTTGTTTCTATATAAAACACACATTGCAAATATGATTTGGCCACAACCGCAATTAATAGACTTGGAAATTCATTTCAGACCAACTGTAATTTGGCCCTCTCTGAGCAGATTGGGTGAAGGCATTTCCAATTTCTCCTAGTGAAAGAGCAGCTGGCTGAGGCTGTAGGTTAGTGGGAGTTGCTTCTAGTGGCCAGCAATCTTCCTCTCCTTGATGGCACACTGCATGTAGCACCTGGTGCCTGGGTGGGGTGGTGGCAGTGAAAGAGGTCCTTTCTTACCAGAATGTGTGGCTGGAAGTGGATCTGTAGGACAGAAGGGCTGTTGATCTCTCAGACAGCAGGGCTATCTATCTATTGAAAAGCACACTTCAACAGACATATTGACACCAATTAGGCGAATGGTTGTGACAGCAGGTAGGAACCAATCTGCGTGTTGGATTTGTTGTCACTGATGGAGCTGCTAACATGGCCAAAGCTTTGTGTGTTCTACACACATCCTACATCCTACATCTTGTAGTAAAAGGTGCAATTCAGTCAAACAACAAAAAGGTGTTAACCATACTTGAGCATTGCAGAAGGATTACTGGTTTACTCCCCACTGATCCCCAATTTTGATCATTCAAGACAGCAAATGGAAAACGATTGCAATCAATCATTCTAAAACATTCTCCCACCTCCTGTTTTTATAATACAGATATATAATAATAAAATATTGTCAATTCACTTCTGCCATTGCAAAATGGCTGATACTGCATAGTCATTAGACTAGGCAATAATGTAGCCATTTTTACATGCCAGTACAGTTCTAGTCCCCCCTTTTCTGCTGTTTTGGCTGTCTGAAAGGCTTTCCTGGATATTGTTTGTTACTGAAATTTGACCAACATGGGCAGCGACATGAACTAAATTCTGTTTACTCAAAGTTTTTATTTCTCTTGAAGTGTTTCGGAGGAACCAAAAATTTACACCTCGCACAAGTCTAGTAATTAACACTAGCTAGCTTGGCACATTTAAAGACACAGTAGCAGAGTTAGATTAGAATACCTCTCTACCTAGGAAGGCTGCCTGATTGGGACCCCCACCTAGAGCCCTATGCATAGTGTTTCATACTCTACCACCCATAGTATCTCTCCATATGCCACCTCCCCCCATAGTGTTTACATGTGTGCTGTCTTTGTGTAATATGTGTGCACTGCTGAGTGTATTGTTTATGTGTGCTGGCAGGTTGTGCATCATGTGTTTCATGTGTTTTGCACTGCTGTTGTTAACCTTTTTGCAAGTGGGAGCCTGAGGTACTATTCCTTGTGGTCCAACAGATGTCCTTTATTTCTGATGGTACAGCAGGAATCCTGGATCCCTGATTGATGAGCCTGGGAGTGTGTGGTCTGCACCTCTTATCGGTGCGGGCCACTGTAATTGCTCTTTCTGGTCCAGCAATCAGTCATGAGTTGGAGAGCAACCTAAAATTACTTGGGACTGTTCTCTCACTAACTCATTGAGCTCCAGAATTTTGAAGGAGCACTTAAAGTGGTCTGCAGCACTCTTCTTTGCCCCCCAGACCACGCTCTCTCTGGCCCCCCAATGTCTCCTGAACAAGGGCCCGGTCATGACACAGATATGTATTTACATGAGGGTGCGTGGCTAGGCCCCTGTTTGATTCCATGGCCCTAGGTGCACACCTAATGGGTAATCCAGCTATGTACAATCCAGACTGCAAAACATCTATGTCATAACTCATTACCAAAACATAAAAATTTCTGAGATGAGTCCCCATTAAAGTGTGTTTGGCTTCAGTTCCCCAAACTGACATAATGTGCCGGACTAGGGTACAGTCCTTCTGGAATCAATGCAAAATACCTTCACATGAACATCCAGAAATAAGAATATTATTCTAGACGATAGTACATATGACCGGATTCTGAGGGTCTATATAAATGTAGTATATATTCACAAAACCATACACATTAATAGTGTTTGCTATTACCGACTTTAAAAGTTCTAAATAAAAATGGTTTCTCTCTAGGAACTAGACAACAAATAAAGTTGTTATGGGCAATATTCAGTTCTACTGCACGTTATACACATTATTATTTTGAAAGGTGCTACTACCTATGGAGAAACAATAATATAAAAAGGGAAATGCTAAAAAAAATAGCTCTGCACGGTTTATAACTGCAATGCAAAGATGCATTGGTTTGAGGGCATTGCTTTATCCAGTTATTATGCGTATGTAATTACAAGCGTGAGGCTCTGGAGCTAGCAGGCAGAGAGATTTGCCGTAGGGAGAAAACAAGATTACATTGTTGGTATTAATTGCCCATCATGCAACACAGCACTACACTATATACAAATATCCATACAGCATGATTAATGCTTTGCACAAAACAATACAAAATTATCTCTTTCAACTGACATCTATTTTAATAAGAACCACAACATAATGATTGTCTATAATATACCGTAACTTCTGTAGCATATAACTATGATCTTATCATTTAGATAGAGTCATGTAGGGGACTGCTACAGTATCAGTGATACAATGGAAATCTAAAGCCTCAGGGTTCCTCTGTTTAATTGCCCCAAAAAACAAAGGGGCTGATAACTTTAATTGCACCCTCACAGGTGTTTGTGCTCCCTTGCAATCTAATATTGGCAAACTAAGTTGTCAAACTGTTGGCAAGAGGTTTGACTATTAACTAGGGTTGTGCTAGGGCACTCATGCCACTATGACCACTACAGGGTGCTGAAGTTGTTATGGTGCTTGGAGTGTCCATTGACCTGTTTAGCATATTATTAACCCAGTTCAATCAGAACCATAACCTACTTACTTACAGCAATACGAGCATGTATTCTATTAATATATTTATGCCTGATATATGGTTATGTTTAAACATTCATGCATATATTTTATTTAAAAATACATAGTGTGTTTGATGGCACCTAGACTTGTGCAGTCATTTTAAAATTAATTGCAATTCATCTAAAATTTGGATGATCGTCAGGTCATGCAAATTGCAGAACTACAGAACAGCCACATTTGATGTTCACTTGTGTTATTGTCCTTGACTTGGCTTCAAGCGCTATTCTCCACTAACCCATTGAGTTTCTGGTGAAGGTTCTTAGTGTGTTGTGGACCTTGTATAGAGCCATGCATTCCAGAATCCGTATGTGTGGCATTGTGTCATAAGCTTCCTAATAGCTAATCCGGGTTGTCTGTTCTTGAAATCCTGTTTGACTGCTTCAACTATCAGCAGTTTGTGTTTTGTGTCTCTGGTGTTGTTTCTAATGCTCCTTTGAGTATTGCTCATGTACTGACTTGGATGCCCACCAGTCTTGGAGGCTATGATGCCTGACAGGACCTTCCATGTTGTGGGGAGGCGGGTGATTGGTTGGTAGTTCGATGATGTTGTTCCTATTTGAGGGTCCATGACCACTTAATGACCAGTATTGTGTTAGCTAGCAAGGGTAGAAGTCTGTTGCTGGTAGCTGGTTCATTTGTGCTGATATGCGTTTATGCATCGTTGTTAATTTCTTTAACTAGTAGATGTGGATCATGTTATGTTCTAGTTCTGACCAACTCCTTATGTGGGCTACTAAGTTGTTGGATATCTTTTACTGTGATGGTGACTGGTTCCTGTTCTGGAAGCATATAGTCTGCTTTCAGGTCTAGAAACCACTGGGCCTTTGTGTTATGTGATGCCTCTTTCTCACAGATGTTTTTCCAGTGCTGTTTGGCTCTGGTTAGATCTAAAGTGGTTATGTTGTTACACCGCAGCTGTGTGTACACCTTGACTGGTTGTAGTCAAGCTATTGGAGGATAAGTGATGGGACATACATGTGCTTGTTGGTGTCTGTGATGGTGTTAGTTGGGATTGCTTCAACAAATGTGGGACATTAGAGAACAAACCAGGGATGGTGGAACAGGAAATATCTAACCAAACAGCTCAACAACCCAGTGAGAATACAAAATTATCTCTTTCTACTTATATCACTGTAGAGAAAAGATGCCTCCAAATTTTCAATACTTAATTAAACAATCAAAAAACACGTTGAATAGTACTGCTAAAAAAAAACTACAGTTGAGTGTATATATGAATGCACTCACACAATTTACTAGATACAAATGCATATCTCCCATCAAAGGGTATGATACCACCACTGGAAATGCACTTACAAGTCATAAAATGAAAATCCCGTATCACCATACAGTGATCTTTGGCTATTTTACTTGTCCTCCCTGCCCTGGATTACAAGATTTTGGGAGCATTAGGACATTGTATGATGATTTTCATTTGATGTTTTGTAAGTGCACACCATGTTCCGCTTTTTTCGCTTTGTCTATGTACAGAGGGATATTTAATAAAGAAGACATCCAGTGGTGGCATCATACCCTTTGATGGGAGATCCGCATGGTGGGACTCTGAATTTGGGATGGCCATGCCAGATCTGAGAGAGGAATGCAGTGTACCATTTTTTTTTTTTTGAATTCTTTAATTTTGTTGTGCATGTTCACAGAAAAATAATGGTAAAGACATATAAAGTTTGTCATGAGAGGAGAACATTTCCATCAGTGAATGTGTACATGTTGTAAACAGCACATTTTTAGTAATTTAGAATAAGACTTACTAAGTGCAGAGCTGAATGAACAAGAAAGAATAAAACAGGTAGCTTAGTTGACACTTAGGTTAACAGGAGCCACGTCTACTGAGTGAAGCCTACAACATGAGAGAGTCCTTCAGACAGCTTAGATTAAACAAACACCCGACCTGCGAGGCCAGTGGCAGGACAGGCGTGAGTCCAGCATGATGTGTGTTGAGAGAAGATAGAAGCGGGGTGTGTATAAGGGTTAGGCATCATGCCTACATGTAGTCATGGACTTCTCTGAGCAGTCAAACAGTAACTGGATGTCAATGTATTCTAAATATTGAGTTGATGCTGGTTTTGCGTTGTGATTGGATCGTTCCAAAAAAATGTACTTATTGTGTCTTTTTATTGGTGTGTTTTATTGATGAGGGAAAACCAGCTAAATCAGATTATGCAGTTGTGCAAATATCCAGGTTCTCTTTAGGTAACTACAAAAACAGACCTCCTCACCTCCCAGGTAAGCGCAGGGTCCCCTACTGCAAGCAACATTTGTTTCCCAAAAAAATCAAATCACATCACTCTCCTTAGTGCTTACTAAATTGTATTTATCTGATTAAAAATGCAAAATAATGAATTAAAATGTGCTTTGCATTTAATTAATTTGAATGTAAAAAAATATTTTGTTGGTAACGTAAAAAAATTAAAAAAATAAACAAACATCTGCACGGATAATGTTTTTTTACTCTTTCTAGTTTGTTGCAGCCAACTTGCGACTGTGTGAATTAATCTAACGGCATTCGCTGGTATTATGGCTTTAAGAAAATGTAAAAGCTTTATAAAGGAAATGCTTTCTAACCATTAATGATGGTGCAATAGCTTGCTGATGTTTAAGGATATAAGTGTTTTTTGTGATAAAACGTCTAGGGCATTTCATTACTATGCGTGTTCAATTTCCATTACATATTACTGATACGTTGTTATGCAGTGTATTTTAAACCTTACATCCAAATGTGCACTGTTGTCAGGTTATAAATTAATTATATTTCCATAATACATACACTGTGCTGTGGCACAACCAAGTTATGAATATATAACATCCCTTTTAACTCTATATAAATGATACGTAATTATGAAAGGATTTCAGCACTTTGGGAGAACCAACGAGTAGAAAACGCTTTGCTTCAGGGAGGAGAATTGCATTTAAACTCTTCTTGTTTGCTAGCTGGCTTGCTAAATATAAAGCACGGTCAAAATAAACTCCAACAGCTGATAATATGTTATTCAAATTAAGTAAACTGCAAACTTTGCAGACTGCAAATTAACTGATTATATTAACTGTAAGAAATTCAAGTACAGTGGTACCTCGGTTTACAAACGCCTCGGTTAACATAATTTTAGGTTTACAAATGAAAATCCATTGTAAATAATGCCTTGGTTTACAATTTTTTTTTCGCAAAACAAAGTGAAATTTCCCCAGGATGTATTGCACCTGGGAGGTTTATAACGCCGTCCATGTGCATGGTGGAGTCTGTGGGTACCCCATGGCGTTGAGTGTGGAGTTGTTGGAGGTGTTGGAGCGGCTTTTGCATCGAGTTTTGGAGCCATTCTGGAATTTTTTTGCAGTGGTTTTGTGACTTTTTGGAACTTTTTTGGTGCATTTCTCAAGCAGTGGAAAGGTAGGGAGCTGAGCTTTGTCGTTTGCATGCCTTTTACTGTATGTTCTGCATTGTGGGTTGGTTTCCATGCCAGCTCATTTTGACTTTTTTCTGACCTCCAGAATGGATTAATTGGTTTTCATTGCATTCCTATGGCAAACCGAGTTTCAGTTTACAAATTTTTCGCGATAAGAAACGTCACGGAGAACGCATTAAATTCATAAACCAAGGTATCCCTGTATATGAATTGTTTTAAAATAAATAATATGTTAAATTACAGTTTTAAGTCAACTTTGTGAGTTAATTGCTTGAAAATGTATTTAATATTTATTTTGCATATGTAGATTTGTATATATTGGAAATAAGCCCCAGGGGTCGCTGATTTCTAATGTTCCTTTGTCTTGTTTTTTTCTATTCCATTTAGGTAAAACAAAACGTTAAATCTTGAATTTGCTAATAAAGAAAATGTGTTCAACGAATCCACAGAGTTGGGTGACTTTTGATGATGAAAATTCATTTCAACATCCGCAGAAATCTCAGATATTTTCTCACGATGGCATCTATGCTCCTAAATCAAGTGGCCTTAAACTGAGCCTATCAAATGAACAGATAATGAGCCTTTCTTCCTCTAACCCTACAACTCCTCATATTTCTCCTGTGATTGATTTTTTTATAAGTCCAGGTCCTCCAAACAATACACCCATTATAGATTTCCCAGGAACACCTTGCACTCCAAAAGGGGGTACCTCTAACCTTTATCCTATTACAGAAATATCACAGATGTTATCAGAGGTACCTAACACATTAGCAAACAGTGTGATGCCAAGTAGTCCGTTATCCTCAAGTTCTCTTGTTTCAGAATCTTCGCTTTTGAATGACACTACAGAGTCTAAAAGTAATTTGGGTCACCACCTACAAACGGAAAACTCTAAGTATTTTCAAAGTGACTGTGCCTTTTCAAGTCCGTTTTGGAATAAAGATGTCACAGACATTATTCCGGCATCTCAAGAGCCCATAACAAAGTACACAGATAAAAAGGAGAAAAAACAGGAATATAGCTCATCTGAAAAAGTAACTTTAAACAACCAGAAAAGTCTAAACCAGAGTTCTTTTGGTTATATCTGTGAAAGACTTCAGCACTTAAAGACTGACGCACCTGTCAATTTGACAGACCTACCTGTATGTTCAGAAAGAAACAGCCCATCATTTCTTCCACTAAATCTTTTTCGAAGTCAGAGAAGAGATGGGTGGCCTTTCATGCTAAGGATTCCTGAGAAAAAGAACAGAATGTCTTCTAGGCAGTGGGGACCTATATACCTAAAGGTTATAGCAGGTGGAATACTGCAAATGTTCTATGAAAAAGGCCTTGAAAAACCATTTAAAGAATTTCAGCTCCATCAGTTCTGCAGGCTTTCAGATCCAAAACTAGAGAACTTAGGTTTTTCAGATAAAATACACACTGTAAAAATTGAACACATAACATACATAGAGAAAAAGAAATATAATCCAAAACCTGAAGTTGTCCATGAGGCAGAAGTCGAGCAAATGTTAAAACTGGGAACTACTGATTATAGTGACTTATTGGACTTTATCACAACAATAGAAGAGGAATTTATGCTACTGTCTCCAGTATCAAAACCTGGAAAAGTTTACGAAGAGCCAAAAATGGTTGTGGAACTAGTGGACAATTTCTGGGGAGAGATTAACAAAGAAGGAAGACTTACAGGAAGTACTGTTATTTGTCAGGTATTTTGCCTTTGTTTTATAAACAGTGGCACTGAATGTTTTTTAACATTAAACGATGCCGATTTACAAAAAATATCTAAAAACTACTTTGAAAAGGACAATGACAAAACCTGGATTAATATTTGTGAGTGCCATTTACACAAGTGTGTTAGAAGTCAGGAGTTTCAGACATCAAGGATCATCAAGTTCACCCCAGTTGATGCCTGTAGGTTTGAGCTAATGCGCTTCAAGACTTGTTTAAATGGACAAGAGCCTCCCTTTTCTCTGAAAACTGCAGCAATAGTACAGGGAGCCTATGTAGAACTCCAAGCTTTTATAAATATGTCCCCGAATGATGTAGCGTCTTCATTTTTAAACACTACACACTATTGCGAAAGTATCACAATCCACTTCCCAGTTCCAGAAGCGTGGATGAAAGCTCTGTGGACTGTTTCCGTTCAGAGGCAAAGGTCTCTGAAAACAAAAATGAATAGAAGAGCCTGTCTTGGATCCGCATATGAAATTGAATCTGAACCCGTAATACAAGTAACTATTGGAACAGCAAAATACGAAAGCGCGTATAAGGCTGTCGTGTGGAAGATTGACCGGTTACCAGACAAAAATACTAGTAAATATATCTTTAGACCATGTACTGCAGATTCTCGATTGGTGCCAAACCCTTAAAACAAAACAATTAGAGACAGAACATTCCCAATTCATTGTATTGCCAGTAAATTATTTAAGCTTGTATGTTGTGACCAAATGGTGGTACTAAAATCCTCAATTATTAGTAATCTGTAAAGTTTGGATATAGAGAATTTGTTAAATTTCAGAGTAAAAAAATATAACAAAGTCTGCAGTTAACAAACATAAACGCAACATAGTTCTGCAAATTTTAATGCACATCTGTTATTTGTTTGTTTACTTTAATTGATAGATAGACCGCCATTTTATTGAAACTATACTTCCACATGATCGTAACATTTTTGTACAGCATGTGCATGTGTGGTGGTGCTTAGAGGATACATGAACAAATCTCAAGTAAATTATATGAGACCTCTCATATCTTTCTATAAAAAAGCATTGCAGATATCCAATGCTATGTTAGTCTCCACATGCACTACTGACAGAAATATAGGTGAACATAGGTGAATACAAGTATAACAAGGCCCGGCTTAATTGTACGAAGACATCGACAGGTGCAGATCAGTATATAACCACCTCACTTAGTGGCCAAAAATAATATCTCACTATAAAACCCCAGGAGCACTCCATAAATGAAAAAAGTTATAAACAAAAAGTTTTTTTTTCTTTCAATATAAATTTTTATTGAAATTTGTTTCTCTTTTTTTCAACAATTTCCCCCCCCCCAAACAAATTTAATGTTTCATATCAAATGTTTTTGTATATCATATGACATAATGAATAATTTAAAAAATGAAATACTCCATCAATATGCTCTCACTAACATTGCAAAAGTGTCACATTAACATATTCCAAGCTGTACAAAATATTTCACTATGTGACAATCAAACAGCAGCAGTGTGTGTTTGAATTAACTCTAGCAATCGCAACTTAATATCGTTTACTGTAGTTCAACCGTGTATTATGGGAGAGTAAGGAGACATAGGAGGCTTAGAAGGGGAAATGTCTCTTTCTTATACCTATTCTTGACTTCCGGATTATAAATAAAGGACATCCTACCACGCTAAGGTGCTATTTGTTCCAGCTATCCCATCTCTTATAAAACTGGTTAATATTATTGGAGAGTTTACGGGAGATAGCCTCAAACTCTTTTGTAAATTACCCTTTAGCAATAATTTTCGGCACATCGGGAATTTGTCTACTTTTCCACATCCCAGCTATACATATTTCAGCCGCTATAAAAATATGAATAATCAATGTCGCCTTACACTGAGGGATTTCTTTGGGAAGTATATGCAAACGATAGGTAGCTTAACCAATGGTATTTTGTGCCCGACTACCTCTTTGATCAGACTTTTGATTGACAACCAATACGCATACAAATATGAGCAATTCCAAAAGATATGGCTCAAAGAGCCCACCTCCATATTACATCCCCAACATGCAGACAGACGTTGGGGCGTTAAATACCACCTCATCCAAATTTTATTCGTAGCTTCTATACACAATTAAAATCCCCACATATGTATACCTGTCTAACCTTTAATTTTGCTACTTTACCAAATGCCTTCCGTAAAATTCAATCTGATTAGCATTAGGGGCATATAAATTTGCTATTGTCACATCTATTCCGTTCAGAACTCCCACCAGGACCAGTATTCCCTCTTTAAATTCCTTTGTGCATACAAACACCCAGTCTGCATGAAATAATATGCTGACGCCTTTTGTTTTGTTCGGCGCAAAGGGATGATATACTGCAGGATATTTAAACAAACCAAAAACTGGTGGCCGGTGTGCACAAAAATGTTGGAACAATAACCTTCTGTTGTGTGGCATATTAAGCCCATTAACATTAAAAGAAAGTAATTAAAACTCCTGAGCCATGAAAGTTGAAAAATATGCAATCTTTGTTTTTACCACACTTCTGCTTGATTGTTCCACACTCCTCGTCTCCTTCCCCCCACATCTTCCCTAACCACACTGCACTTGTGTAGTCCATTTCTTCCAATACACGCATAAGTTAGGGCATATGTGTGTGTTGGAAGAAATGAAAAGTTTTTATTGACATTCAAAATCCAGGGATTTATTTTGCCATTATTTATTTATTTATTATTGCCAAAAACATACTTTTTAATTATGAACTACTAACAGAAAGCCAGTGTATAACATTTTGAGCTCTGTTGATTATAGGTACACAGGACAGATGTATGGAATTACAGAATATATGATGTACAAATTATCCTTGTCTCATAACTGGTCACCAAAGATGAAGTTCTTGCACTAAGTTCCACACACGTCTAGACTTGTAAGAGAGGGTAAAAGATAAAAGGTTGGAGGGCATCAAATAATATTCCTAAAATTAAGTCCCCAAACTAATGTCTTCTTTGTGATAAGATAATACATGGCAAATATAATATCTATACAAGACTTTTTATCTGGAAGGTCTATGACAAATTAAGTAATGACAAAACAGGCAATCATTGAAAATGACACTACAGATTCTGTTAACTGGAATATAGGCACCTAGACCACTTAATCTCCATTAAGTCGTCTGGGTGCCATCCCCCAGAAATATTGCCATGTGTACAGGCAATGTTTTCAATGCAGGGTTAATAAGCCTTTATTGGCTGTCAGAGACTAGAGGCGCTTCTGCCTATAAACTTGGTTATAGATCAAATGGCTCACCTAGAGTGCAAAGTTTTGCTGTGCATGCGCACTAGCTTTGCGATGCTTCCCAGCGAAGCATTGGATTTGCAGACATTATAAATCTTGATGATCTCAGCCAGGGATGCAGAACAGCAGCACCGATACCAGCGTTCCATGGGATAAGTAAAGTTTACCTTTTAAATTCCTCAAGGGTGGTGAGTGAACACCTTCATAGATAGGGGAACACTATAGCGTTAGAAATATTTGTTTGTATTCCTAAAATCATAGTGGTGTTTCTTTAATCATACCATATTCACCACCAGAATTTAAAACATCGTAGCCAACCACTCCTTGCTCCTGATTGCGATGTAGTCATACTGATATTGTAAAAAACTGTTTATAATGTATGAAAGCCTGTGCCTTACATTTTAACAATAGTGTGTTACTATTGACCAACCTTTGTGGTGTGAAGAGGTCAGTTATGATATAGTGACATATTCCTATAGTTCGGTGTTTTAAATCTCCATTCATCAGAATATTTTCTCTTCTTTAAAGGTTACGATCAGCCACACAGCTTGTCCTGCAAACTGGAGCTTGGTTCCGACCTAGAGATACCAAACAATTGGAACCCCGTTGCAACAGTGAAGTATTTTATGCCTAGTGCATGCATCTCTGGAGCAGAGGTGAAATCAATGGGAATTGAAAATGATATTCAGCCTCATAAACACGTCATTCAGAAAGCTTGCTACAACATCCAGGTATTATTGATTTCCACATTTAACTTGAATTGTTTACATTATAAATACATTCCCATTATAAGGGAAAGGGATATAAGATTGCCGGCAGCTATTCGTTGGGACTTTACACATTTTGATTAATCTTTAAGAGTGGCAACGTTTTACAACGTAAGAAATCTCTTGTCAATATGTGATTCAGTCACAGTGCAGTAACTAATGTATCGGCTCAACTTGTGTCTGAACCAGATGGGTAATGAGAACTTTCTTATGTACTGCGCATAATTTTATACTGGCAATCATATCTTTTTTTTTTTTTACTGTTTTTGGTGCTCAAAATAAATAGGAAATACATAAAACTAATATGATTTCTTTGCAGGAAAAACTCCTTACCAATTTTTTTTTTTTATTCATCTGTGCATATGTAACATGTTCTGCTTGTTATGGCAAATGAAAACAATACTGCATAATGGGTGATGTCACAGATGCATTATCTTTTTGTAATGCACAGTTTGAATGACACTGTATAGTATAGGGGCCCCTAGTTGGAGTTAGCCCCCTAAATGGCAGCAGCTATTAACAACTACTGTAATTAAGCCTGCTCCCTATAATGATAGCGTAGGAGATGTACGGAGGAGACAGACACAGTGCAATTCTGTTTCCCCATCTTTTCCATGAGCATATCATTATCGAAAAAGGAGTTAAAGTGATAGAATATCTCCAAACAATCTAGGGCACGCTGAGATATGTATGTTGCAGTGCCACGAAATGATGACGAAATCCTAAGCCTATACTAAACCATAGAGAGATCTCTATTCTCTATACCTCCCCTACCAATACTTCACCCAATCCTGCTTCCTACTTGTTCTATGCTCCCTTGGACCTTCTATGAAAGCAGAGGTTTTTTTGCTCTGCTTTGGTCCTCCAGCCCCACCACTTGTTCCCTCATTCCGATTCCCTCACATCTCACTTGCTCTCTGTCTCCTGCTATTGTTCTGCCCCTCACTAAAATATTCAATCTCTTCCTCTCCTCTGGCATATTTCCTTCACCCTTCAAGCAGGCAACCATCTGCCTGATTCTACAAAATTTCCCCTTGACCCTAATTCCCTATCCAACTACTGCCCTATCTTGCGGTGACTATTTGCCTCCAAGATTCTCGAGAGAGTTGTGAACACTAGATTCTTTCTGCTCTACCTGCTTCAGTCAGGATTCTGCGCTAGTCACTCTGTCGAAATGGCCCTGACCAAAAAAATCAGTGCTTGCTACTCTCTTCTAATTCTCCTTGATCTTGCTGCTGCTATTCTAATAACTGTTTTTTTCCTGTACATGAAATACGTTGTGCTCAAAAGTTTGCATACCCTTGGAGAATTGGTGATTTATGCACCATTTTTAAAGAAAACATGAGTGAGCAGGCAAAACACATTTCTTTTATTACTTATGGGATTCATATTCAACTGTAGGTTATAACAGAATGGCACAATCATAAAACAAAACATGGCAACAAGGAAAAAAATTAAATGATCCCTGTTCAAAAGTCTGCATAACCTTAGTTTTTAATACTATGTATTGCCCCCTTTAGCATCAATGACAGCGTGCAGTCTTTTGTAATAGTTATCTATGAGGCCCCTAATTCTTGCAGGTGGTATAGCTGCCCATTTGTCTTGGCAAAATGCCTCCAGGTCATGCAAAGTCTTAGGTCGTCTTACATGAACCGCACATTTGAGATTTCCCCCTGGTGGCACGCATTCAGCCAGTCTCATAGCTTTCCTATGGACGCTGGTGTCTTCACAGTGAGAAGCACGCAAACGCCTCTAGCGGCTGTCAATGAGACAGCCACTAGAGGCTTTAGAGGCTGGATTAACCCATTTATAAACATAGTAGTTTCTCTGAAACTGCTATGTTTATAAAAAAAAAAGGGTTATTCCTAGAGGGACCTGGCACCCAGACCACTTCATTAAGCTGAAGTGGTCTGGGTGCCTAGAGTGGTCCTTTAAGCTTGTTGCTAATATTGATACATACCTTTCTGTACTTTGGACCATACCACTCACATGACTGTGAAACCATACAATAGTCATACTCCGAATGGGCTTAAACATACTGTCTGTCCAGAGGGAGAGGCAAGGCTGGTTGAGATGAGAACGTGCAGTTCAAATTCAGTCTTAGAACTGAGAGATGATTTTTTTCACTATCAACTTGTAAATCATACAAACATGTCAGTTCCTTTTTAATTAGACATCAGTGATGGCGATTGGTGTAACTAATGCTGCAGAATTTATTATTATTATTTTTTCAAAAAATCTGCTTCCCAATCTTTTTTGTTACTATTTATGTGTAACGGTGGCCCTATAGATCATAACATGCCATCAATACATTATACTGCATTGAGCTGTGTCACATTGTCAGTTTAGTATATTACCCGCTAAGAACAACCAATAAGAACTATCTAGAACATTTGAGGTCAATTTGGTGTCATAAGCTGAAACATGTCTCTTCAATGATACAAACATTTCCAATTAGCGTGACAGCATGTGAATCCTGTGTGCTACAATGGGTAAAGTGAATCATTCTGAGCCCAACAAGGTGACACCATAACATTGACACTGTAAAGATGTCTATCGCTGTAGTGGACATTTACATTTGAAGGCACTTTATTTTGACAAAGGAAGAGTTAACTAATTGAATCCAGAGGGAGCTGATAAAAAAGTACGAGTCAGGAACATGTCCCTCTAAGACTCACATAGACAGATGAAGATCTGATGAAGACAATTGTACAGCTTGGCAAAATGCAACAGTGGGGGAGCTGGGATAATACTTTTCAGTTAATGAAACATCAACATTAAATTTGCTGGACTCATCATTTCCCCCCCATAGATATCATTCTGCAAAATTGCTGGCGTAGGTATCTCGTGCAAGCTGTGTAACTGTATCCTAAAACGTGATTAAATGTTTATGAATTACTATTCTGTATTCAAGGATGATGTTAACCCCAGGTGCTGAAAAAAAAAAAGAAAGAAAGAAATAAAAGAAAAAGACGTTAAATATTTTCATTTTAGAATTGATTGTTTTCCGAGAACTGCTAAAATGAAAAGCAAAAAGATAACCTATTTTTTCTTATCATGTTTACTTATGTTTTCATGTCGCATTTTTTGGGGGTCGGGGCGGGGGAGAGGGGGTTATTTGACATTTTTGAAAAGTGCTATTTTTTTTTTTTTTTTTACCAAGGCATTTAAAGGACCACTATAATGCCAGGAAAACAAACTTGTTTTCGGGGCACTATAGGGTCTTTAGGTCCACCCCACCCTCAGCCACTTACCTTAATCCAGCGCCTCTCCTTCCCCTGCTGACGTCAGCGCCGAATGCGCATGCCCGACAAGAGCAGCGCGTGCATTCAAACCGCCCATAGGAAAGCATTACTCAATACTTTCCTATGGACGTCCAGCGTCTTCTCACTGTGATTTTCACAGTGAGAATCGCGGAAGTGCCTCTAGCAGCTGTCAATGAGACAGCCACTAGAGGCTGGATTAATCCTCAGTGAAACATAGCAGTTTCTCTGAAACTGCTATGTTTACAGCTGCAGGGTTAACAGTATAGGGACCTGGCACCCAGACCACTTCATTGAGCTGAAGTGGTTTGGGTGCCTATAGTGATACTTTAATGTATGTATTTCAAGGACAGTTAGCAGACACCAGGATCAGAACTAAAATGTGTTGTGGCCCAATTCCCATTGCTCACATAATTGGAATGGCAGTTTGTTAAGCATTGCTAAACCAAGATCAAAGAAAATGCTATCTAATTTACAAAGAAAAAAACAAAACAACTAATCCCAACTCATGCACCTACAAAAAGAGTGAACTGTACACATTGATTCTATGTTAGCTAGGCTGCGACAGAAGCAGCAATCCAAGATGGCGACGGAGCTGGAAGATTCCTCGTCCAAATCCGGAGAACAGCCTTTTGCTACGGTAGAAAACCTGCAGATCAGGGCTGATTTTTCTGCAACCGCTCTCTCAGCAGCAGAACCAGCACTGCCATCTGCCAATCTAGTTCTATCGTTCAGAGCCGCAACTGAGGGCAGCACTAAAATGGTTAGGTTAGTGTAAGAGAGATAGCACTGTAGTAGAGAGGTTAGGTTAGTGTTAGAGAGATAGCACTGTAGTAGAGAGGTTAGGTTAGTGTTTGAGAGATAGCACTGTAGTAGAGAGGTTAGGTTAGTGTTTGAGAGATAGCACTGTAGTAGAGAGGTTAGGTTAGTGTTATAGAGATAGCACTGTAGTAGAGAGGTTAGGTTAGTGTTAGAGTGAGAGCACTGTAGTAGAGAGGTTAGGTTAATGTTAGAGAGCTAGCACTGTAGTAGAGAGGTTAGGTTAGTCTTAGAGAGATTGCACTGTAGTAAAGAGGTTAGGTTAATGTTAGAGAGATAGCACTGTAGTAGAGAGGTTAGGTTAGTGTTCTATAGATTGCACTGTAGTAGGTAGGTTAGGTTAGTGTTAGAGAGATAGCACTGTAGTAGAGAGGTTAGGTTAGTGTTAGAGAGATTGCACTGTAGTAGAGAGGTTAGGTTAATGTTAGAGAGATAGCACTGTAGTAGAGAGGTTAGGTTAGTGTTCTAGAGATTGCACTGTAGTAGGTAGGTTAGTGTTATAGAGATTGCACTGTAGTAGAGAGGTTAGGTTAGTGTTATGGAGAATGCACTGTAGTAGAAAGGTTAGGTTAGTGTTAGAGAGATAGCACTGTAGTAGAGAGGTTAGGTTAGTGTTTAAGAGATAGCACTGTAGTAGAGAGGTTAGGTTAGTGTTATAGAGATAGCACTGTAGTAGAGAGGTTAGGTTAGTGTTAGAGTGAGAGCACTGTAGTAGATAGGTTAGGTTAGTGTTCTAGAGATTGCACTGTAGTAGGTAGGTTAGTGTTATAGAGATTGCACTGTAGTAGAGAGGTTATGTTAGTGTTAGAAAGAAAGCACTGGTTAGTGTTATAGAGATTGCACTGTAGTAGAGAGGTTAGGTTAGTGTTATGGAGAATGCACTGTAGTAGAAAGGTTAGGTTAGTGTTATAGAGATTGCACTGTAGTAGAGAGGTTAGGTTAGTGTTAGAGAGATAGCACTGTAGTAGAGAGGTTAGGTTAGTGTTAGAGAGATAGTACTGTAGTAGAGAGGTTAGGTTAGTGTTATAGAGATTGCACTGTAGTAGAGAGGTTAGGTTAGTGTTAGAGAGATAGCACTATAGTAGAGAGGTTAGGTTAGTGTTAGAGAGATAGCACTGTAGTAGAGAGGTTAGGTTAGTGTTAGAGAGATAGCACTGTAGTAGAGAGGTTAGGTTAGTGTTCTAGAGATTGCACTGTAGTATGTAGGTTAGTGTTCGAGAGATAGCACTGTAGTAGAGAGGTTAGGTTAGTGTAAGAGAGATAGCACTGTAGTAGAGAGGTTAGTGTTAGAGAGATAGCACTGTAGTAGAGAGGTTAGGTTAGTGTTAGAGAGATAGCACTGTAGTAGAGAGGTTAGGTTAGTGTTAGAGAGAAAGCACTGGTTAGTGTTATAGAGATTGCACTGTAGTAGAGAGGTTAGGTTAGTGTTATGGAGAATGCACTGTAGTAGAAAGGTTAGGTTAGTGTTATAGAGATTGCACTGTAGTAGAGAGGTTAGGTTAGTGTTAGAGAGATAGCACTGTAGTAGAGAGGTTAGGTTAGTGTTAGAGAGATAGTACTGTAGTAGAGAGGTTAGGTTAGTGTTATAGAGATTGCACTGTAGTAGAGAGGTTAGGTTAGTGTTAGAGAGATGCACTGTAGTAGAGAGGTTAGGTTAGTGTTAGAGAGATAGTACTGTAGTAGAAGGTTAGGTTAGTGTTATAGAGATTGCACTGTAGTAGAGAGGTTAGGTTAGTGTTAGAGAGATAGCACTGTAGTAGAGAGGTTAGGTAGTGTTAGAGAGATAGTACTGTAGTAGAGAGGTTAGGTTAGTGTTATAGAGATTGCACTGTAGTAGAGAGGTTAGGTTAGTGTTAGAGAGATAGCACTGTAGTAGAGAGGTTAGGTTAGTGTTAGAGAGATAGCACTGTAGTAGAGAGGTTAGGTTAGTGTTAGAGAGATAGCACTGTAGTAGAGAGGTTAGGTTAATGTTAGAGAGATAGCACTGTAGTAGAAAGGTTAGGTTAGTGTTATAGAGATAGCACTGTAATAGAGAGGTTAGTTTAGTGTTAGAGATATTGCACTGTAGTAGGTAGGTTAGTGTTATAGAGATAGCACTGTAGTAGAGAGGTTAGGTTAGTGTTAGAGAGATTGCACTGTAGTAGAGAGGATAGGTTAGTGTTAGAGAGATAGCACTGTAGTAGAGAGGTTAGGTTAATGTTAGAGAGAAAGCACTGGTTAGTGTTATAGAGATTGCACTGTAGTAGAGAGGTTAGATTAGTGTTAGAGAGATAGCACTGTAGTAGAGAGGTTAGGTTAGTGTTATGGATATTGCACTGTAGTAGAGAGGTTAGGTTAGTGTTAGAGAGATAACACTGTAGTAGAGAGGTTAGGTTAGTGTTATGGAGATTGCACTGTAGTAGAGAGGTTAGGTTAGTGTTATAGAGATTGCACTGTAGTAGAGAGGTTAGGTTAGTGTTATAGAGATTGCACTTTAGTAGAGAGGTTAGGTTAGTGTTATAGAGATTGCACTGTAGTAGAGAGGTTAGGTTAGTGTTATAGAGATTGCACTGTAGTAGAGAGGTTAGGTTAGTGTTATGGAGATTGCACTGTATTAGAGGTTAGTGTTAGAGAGATAGCACTGCCGTAGACCCGACCTAAAAATTGGAAGCGCGACAATGCTGAACCATCTGCATGCACCAGGAAACAACCCGCAATCCCTGAGAGAACCCCCATATAGCCAGAAGAACAGAAAAGTGGGCAGACCCTTGAACCCGGCAGAGAAAACATCCCTTCCCAAAACCATCTGTCTTGGTCCGACCCAAACGAATCTCAACCCTATCCATACACAGAGCAACATCCTTCATTGGATCTCCCCAACAACAGCCCTATTGGTGCTCACCAATCCTGAAAGCTCCAAAAAACACCCACACAAAAGCAACCGAAAACACCACATCATAAGGCACAGCACATACCTCCCGTAACACGGACACCAACCTCTGTAACACCTCAAAAGAGGTGTATCCAATGTTGTATCCAACGTTTTCTTCCCCCTCCGAAAACCATGCAGCACCTGTCGAATTAGAAACTATTTGGTAAGGTCCTCTCACCTGTTCAACTTAAACAAAAAATGCCAACGCTGCCATATTCCGATCAACCACCGAAGGAGACACCTGACGGGAAAACAACCGCCGTATAAACCAAGCCTTCCAGACCTTCACATAGGCAGACCACATGCCCGCACCAATGAGTTCCTTACGAGTCCCCCAAGCAGGAAGTCCTGAACGGCCACATCTCCTTCGGACAGGCCTGACCCAACCCCCGTGCCCTGGGTACTTCCCGACGAAAACGGTATCACTGTGAACGAGACAATGCATCAGCCATGATGTTCAATAACCCAGGCACATGACGGGCCCGAAAAACAATGTTAAACTGCTGCAAGAGATGCACCACCACTATAGAGGAAGCTGACAAATTATGAATGGCATGGACAACCGCCATGTTGTCCGAGACGAATATCACTTTTTCTATCGCGAAAGGGACTCACCCCACAACGCCAACGCAACCACCAACGGAAATAACTCCAGAAAAGCCAAATTCCATATCAAAGGACTCAACTTCCATGCCTCCCGTCACTGCTCCGCACCCCACTCACCTGCCAAATAGGCCCCGAAACCCACGCTCCCAGAAGCATCCGTAAACAACTCAGTCTCCTCTGACGATGTTGCAGGCTCCTGAAAGAAAACCTTCCCATTCAAAGCTCCCAAGAAGGTCTGCCACACCCCTAAGCCAGCCCTCGTGGACCCCGTGATCCTAATGTAGTGATGGTGGGACCTGGCCCCACCCGTAGTTCTTGCCAAGAACCGGCTGAAGACCCTACCCATAGGTATCACTCGACACACAAAGTTGAGGCTACCCAGCAGCGATTGTAATACCCGAAGCGTAACCTTCTGCACACCTTGGATGTCCCTAACCAATTGACGAAGCACGACCAGTTTGTCCTCCGGCAACCAGCACTCCCCCTTCACTGAATCGATTTCCAGCCCAAGAAAACTGAGACAAGTGATAGGACCCACCGTCTTGTCCACTGCGAGCGGCGACTTCAAAAATAAAAGCCACACATTCCAAAACCCTCAAAGTATGACCGCACCGGTCGGAATCAGCAGGACCCATGCACAAAAGAAAATCACCGAGGTAATGTACAATAGCACCCCCACAAGACTCCACCCTCACAACCCACCCCAAGAAGGTGCTAAACTTACACGAAGTACGAACCGTAAAATGGACAGCCTAACAGATGGTAAAATGCTGGGTGAATAGTCAGGAGTCAAAACGCTGACTCTACACCTGCCTTCACCATCAGCGCCCCGCGCCCTGCTCTCCTAACCAACTCACGCCTTTCGGATATGACAAATGATGAATCAAACTGAACTTACCCATTTCCTTCTTAGAGACCACTCCCAGGGGCAAAATCCATAGATCATCCAAAGGTGGGGTCGCGAACGCCCCACCACCCTACCCAACTGAACTTTCTTAAACAATTTGTCCCTAACTACCTCTGGGTGATCCTGGCTGATCTGAGGTTCTTACACACGCGCCCCACAATTTTTTTCTTGAATGGAATAAAAAAAATCATGGAAAACCCCTCAAACAAGTCTTTCACTGCACCCTGATCAGTGTAACGACTTAGCCAGGGTGCCATCAAGCCTACCCTCACTGAGGTTGATCCCAGAGGAAGTGGAAGGTGTTGCTGATCCCCCAGCTCCCCCTGCGGAGGAAGTCTTACCTCTCCCCATTTACATTGGCCCTCTTAAAAGAGTCAGCAAAACCCCTTCTTTTGGCTGGCCGACGATGAGGCACCAGCTCCCACGCCGGCCCCTCCCTGAAAGAGCACCGCCTTCTGAGCCATCGTCAACTTCATCCAGAACGAAAGGTCCATCTAGTCTCACTGTATCCCTGGATTAGCCAACAGGCATTGGCGGAACTGCTCATCGTGCTTCCACCTAGCTAGACCCCCATATGTCCTATAGGCCTCCCATATGTTGTCCAAATAATATAAGAACTGCGAACAGCGTTCTGTAAATTTCTCACCTAACAGACTTGCCAAGATACAAAACGCTCTAAGCCAGTTCCCAAACATCTTTTGTATCTTACAATACCGTCAATGTTTTTCCTCCTCCTCCTTCTTGGTATCTTTCTTGTCCTCCTCCTTCAGAATAAGATACTCCTCCAATGGATGGAGCAAAAAGATTTCTAGGAATTCCCCCCACTATATCTTCTCCTTCACGTCCAATTTCAAATGGCAACCCAAGAGGCCTGCGAATGAAACATGCACATTCTGCCTCGCTACATTTGGAATCTCACCTGCCAATTTTGCTCGTTCCCCAGCCCCCAATGAATCGCCCGAAGCTGAAGAAGACACCGTTGCCCCCTGCCCCCCCAGGTCGCTCCCGTCCACCGAACCGCCAGCTCCACCACCAACACCCGGAGGATCCCATACCCTGCTAAAGTGTGCCCTTTGCGCCCCCCCTTCCGACGAAGTGTTCAAAAAGGACTTCAGATTGTCTAACAAAGACCCAGAGTGTGATGCAAAAGAAGACTCACCGCCAGAATCCCTGGCCGTCGAGGACCGTGGGGGACCAGTCCGTCCATCCACCTCAAGAGGTTCAGGAATTGTGGCATTCCTCTGACGTCTCACATCCTGGTCCTGCCTCAAAACCGTGGGAGAAAGGGCAGAAACCAACACAGACCTGACAGACAACTAACAGGTAAGTGAAGGTTAATTAAAAATGGCCACTACCTAAAATAGCCGCGCTATATATATATATATATATATATATATATCACACAAACCCCACCCCCACCAAGCTAATGACCTAATTGACATGGTTGCTATGCCTATTTCCTGGCCTTGTCAAGGCCCATCCCCCTCTCTTTGCTGTTCCATGGGCTACATTTTGGTCTTACAAAGATTTTTCCAAGCACAATGTTAAATGTATTTAATGCAGAAAACACAAGTTGTTTCATTTAGTAAAAGTACGCAATAGTACAATAAATCTATTTTATTTACAGGTTTGGTGGTAGTGAGCAAGTAACCATTTTTTTGTTGAAATTGTAATTAGTATATATTATCTGACTTATGCAAATGGAGTCATAAACACCTGAAAAAAACAAATTGCTGAGTCCACACATCAGTGGCAACGGATTTCAATTTAACTTTGAATACATGCAATCTATGCTTTTTTTCAGCAGGTGTTATAAATCAAAAGTTCAAACACTGAACAACTGCCATGAAAATGTTCAATTACATCAGCTGAATATAATCTTGCTTGAATCTATTTTTTGACATGACACACAACAATATGAACATATTACTATTTTTTTCTATCCTAGATGCATATATTTTATTTACAAAACGATTGGTTATGTTTTTCTGGAAGACACAGAAAAAAATAACAAATGCATCTGACAATATAAATAAAATGTCATAACAATAACATTCGCGCTTGTGAGCATACGTAAATATGCACACACAAGGTGTGAGGGTGTTGTGTGTTTTTAAGGGTGCTGTGTGTGTGTTTGTGGGGATGCTGTTAGTGTGCTGTGTGTGTGTGTTTGAGGATGCTCTGTGTGTGAGGGTGCTGTATGTGTGTGGGTGCTGTTTATGTGCTGTGTATATGAGGGTCCTGTGTGTGCGCGCTGTTTGTGTTAGGGTGCTGTATGTGTGTAGATGCTGTGTGGGTGCTGTATGTGTGTGTGTGCTGTATGTTTGGAGGGATTGTGAAGGTGGGGGCCCCCCTCCCTTCTTACCTTATGTAGGGAGGGGGGATCCTTGCTGTCCAAGGGAGAGTGAACTCTAGCCCCGCAGGCACCGCTCAGATCTCGCGAGAGGAACCTGGCGGAGCTTCTGTCTAGAGCTCCCTGGGTCCTCTCCTGCCTCCTTTCATGCTGCTGTGGGCTGGTGAGGTAGATCTTTGATCTCCCCGCTGGCCCATGGAGGCATAGAGCAGAGCCGGCACTCAGATAGCGCCAGATCTGCATGAGCCGACAGGGGAGATCCGGAGATCTCCCCTGCCGGCAGGGGTCAAGTCCTGGGGAATAAAGTGTGGGAACTCTCCCAAGATTCCCACCCCCCCCAAAAAAATAATATACACTTGTGTGTATATAGGTGTACACACACACATACACTCACAGACACACACTTACAGACACACACACATATATTCACAGACACACACACACACACTTACAGACACATACACTCACAGACACACACATACATTCACAGACACACATACACACACTTAAATTCACAGACACACACACACACTCACAGACACACACACACACTCACAGACACACACACTTATACTTACAGACACACACATTCACAGACACACATACACACACACTTACAGGCACACACACATACATTCACAGACACACACATTCACACTTACAGACACACACACACATATATCCACAGACACACACACACACTCACACATTCACAGACACATACACTCACAGACACATAAACACACACACACTCACAGACACACACATATTCACAAATTATTATTTTTTAATTAAAAATTGTCCACCCAGCCTCCCTACCTGGAGAGCAGGTGTGGACTTGTCCCTTGGGTCCAGTGGGTCAGACGCCTATCTCCATACAACAAGCGGCGAGGGAGCTGTGTGCTCTCTGCTCCCACGCGCCGCGTGGGCTGTCTGCTGTAGCTGCGAGCCAGAATATGACGTCAGATTCCTTCTCCCGCCATCAGCAAATGGCGCGCGGCTCCCTCCCTCGCCGCTTGTTGTATGGAGATAGGCGCCCAACCGGGGGGGGGGTGAGGGGGTGTCCATCACCTCTTGCTCCCCCTCTCCCCCCCATGACAGAGGGAACACGGGGGAGGAGGGTATTTGGGGGCGGCAGAGTGCCTGCAGGAACAGCGGGAACGGCATTCCCACATGTTCCTGCAGGACTCACAGCCGTGCCACGGGTATTACAGTGTCCCCAGGCACACCCAGCACACCCCGTGCGCACGCCTATGTTAAACTGTTTCCAGAGACACCTCAATTTATGCTTTCCTGAGGTCACTTCCAAAGGGGCAGGCATATCGAATGGGTGGGGTGCTCAGCCCAATAGGAATCTGGTCTGGATTCTAAGTCTACACAGAAAAAAATGGGAATTGGGGGAACGCCTAAAACATGCAGTAACTTTAGATTGTAAGCTCATTTGAGCTAGGGCTGTAACTACTTTTTGTTATTTAACACACAGAAAATAGGTGGAGCAAGTGATGATAATTAAATAAAAATGTACTTCCCTCTCTTCTAACTTTCTCACTGTAAAAGATAGAGAGGTACAAAATAGTGCAGATATTTCTATACACAGAATGTAAATAAAATATAAATCATATGCACTCACAATGGAAGAGCCATATAATAAAACCTGGCTCTGGTGTGGATCTTCTTTGGGATCTTAATTGGGTGATCCCCAAACCTCTTTAGTGGTGCTGGTTGGAAAATGTCTTCCTTTTTGTTATTGTTAGTCAAACTTGAGACTTCAATTTGTCTGTACATCTTGTCAGCACTGTAAAAAATGTTGTTACTTTATAAACATTTAAAATAATAATAATAGTGAAAGAACCTTGGAATTAAAACCTACGGTAAGGGAGAAGGAAATCGAGTGCATAAGAGCAGGGGACAGAGAAAAGAAAACTTGTGACTGTGGATTGAGGTTAAGAGAGTATAGGAGTGAGGACAAGAGAACACAGTGTTGCAGACTTGAGTTTAAGAGACATACATGTTAAGGGTCCTGATAATCATGACTTGAGGGTAAATAAATTTAAAAGGGGTAGTTTAATGCTAAATAAAAAAAATAAAAATAAAAAAAAATATATATATATATACACACACACACACATATAATATTGTAATGCTTAAGCATTAGTGTCTAGTTTACTTCTACTGCTAGTAGCAAATTTCCTACCTAATAACCTGCTCTTACGTTTATGTTTACCCTAATTTTATTGTTGGGTGTTTTCTGTTAATTTTACTTTTATGATGTTTGTGTCAGGAACCCTAATACAAGTTAAGCCCATGATGGTGTAACTGGCTCCTGTTAAATCTGTTCCATACTTCCCCCACCTCGATGTTACCACTACCGGAACCTCAGTCAAGCTCTTTACTAGATGTGTATTACCCCCTTCAGGAAACACATTTGTAAGATTGTATGAGCCACACATTGCATGGCAATATGTGACCTGTTACGTTTAAATATTTTTTGTATCTTTCATTATATTAAAGGATCACTATAGTGTCAGGGAAACAAAGTGGTTTTCCTGACACTATAGTGCCCTGAGGGTGCCCCCACACTCAGGGTCCCCCTTCCGTGGTGCTGAAGGGGTTAAAACCCCTACAGCCACTTACCTTAATCCAGCGCCGGGCTCCCTCGGTGCTGGTGACCTCTCCTCCCCGTCTGACGTCAGCTCCCCTGTCTGACGTCACTGGAGCCGAACACGCATAAGCGGCAAGTGCCGCGTGCGCATTCAAAGTATCCATAGGAAAGCGATAAAGGCAAAATTTGCCTCCAGGGTCGCAGATGCGCCTCTACTGGCTGTCCGAAAGACAGCCACTAGAGGCTGGATTAACTCCAAATGTAAACATACCAGTTTTCTCTGAAACTGCTATGTTTGCATCTGAAGGGTTAAAACCTGAGGGACCTGGCACCCAGACCACTTCATTGAGCTGAAGTGGTCTGGGTGACAATAGTGTCCCTTTAAAACTCCACATTCCGCTAATTTATACTCCCTGACAGAGTACTTATATACCATATAAATTTGTATGCAGTTTATGTTACAACGAAGATGCTGTGTGTTCTGGGTTTTGGATGTGAATAAAAAAATAAACACTTATAAAAAAGAGGGGACAGGTCTATGCATTTTGGTGCTTAGTGTGTCCCTTTAAAGGATAAGGCTAAATTTCTGATTAAGGGGTAGAGGGTAAGAGACCAGAATAATAACAGTTAGTGATCACAGACTAAAACTCTAAAAGTTCAGCTAGTAGTTTGCTGGGGTGCACAATTTATTTATACATGTTAAATGTAAAACAAGGATCCTCATACTTAAAATAACTGGGGACCACTCATTACATCTGCCTGCCCTGTAATTAAGTTTACAATAGATGAAAGTGTTTAGTTAGGCTCTGTAAGGCATATTTCAAGCATTCATGCCCACATGTATGCATGAACAGTTCCAGTAATCAGAATAATGGTGATTGACAACATATTGAAATAATACAGAATAGCCAACTGACAGGTCAAGTGAAATCTCATTACTGGACTCAAAGGTTTCCCTAACCCTCTGAATTACCAACATCATAAATTTATACTACAAAAATATATAGTTTTAATTTGGCAGATTTTTCTTACGTGATATATTTAGTTATGCTGCTTGAATACAACAAAAAGCAAAAATTATTTGTGTCTTCTACAAATCCTTGTCTCTGTAATGAAGGTTTGCAAGTGACAAGGACAAAAAGGATCAGGCTGTGAATTAAGGAATTCAAAGAAGAACATCGTGATCTTGGATGTAATTACAGAAATGTCCTTATAAAGTTTCATTTTCAAGGAGTCACATTTTCTACCTGTAAATTTCACGTCGGTAGGAAATCAAGTCGAACAAAAAAAAATCAAAGCAATTATTAATCAGAATTTCAGAAACAAACGTTTAGCATAAAATGTAATTATGTGATAGAAAGACAGATAATATCGGAAGTAAAAATTTATTTTATGTCTCTATTGCAGGTGGAGATTGAACGAAAAGTGGTTCTAACTGAATCAGAAGAACTGGACAAAGCTGGGGAGTGTAAAACACAGTAGACATTTTTATAGTTAAGGATTTAAACTTTGTTTACTGAACGCATGATTCTCGTTCAACAGGCTGTGCAAAAATCAAAAGTAGCTGTATAACCATGATAATAGATAGAAAGATAAAATGTTAATATTATTTTTTATATTTACAAGATAAAGGAAAATAATAATCTATGCAATTGATCAGAGCCTAGCATTTCACATATACATGTATAATTCTGCTACCGTATAAACGATTTGAATACCTATTTCAATATGATCAACCAGATGGACTTCCAAAAATAAACTGACACATTTATTGGCAAAAGTTTACTCAGAAGACATCGATCAGTTGCCCCCCACAAGTATCTGCTTTAGTTAAACATTATTGCTCCTGGTTCAAACGATTAAGGTAAATGGAAGAGATGGTGCAGGGATAACCGATGTATGTGATTTTACACTAATGGCATTTGCCTTTCCATTCAAAGACAAAGGCATGCTTTTGATGCAAATTAATTCTTTGGACCCCTAACTTCCTGCGCACATGTATGGACTCTAGTCATAAAAAAATTACTGTATATGGGTGAAATTGTGCTAGGATTCCCAAATACTAGTAATAGGCATAAATGAAAGAATATAATTATTGAACACAAGTGTGACGTTTGTGATGACTACCTGTTATGCATAATAAATTTCAAATTATGTGTATATTTTGTGTTTTTTCCTTTTCTAATTGATTTTCTTTCCTTCTGAAGGGCAAGTATGGAATTGCATTCTACGCTCTTTTGCTTTTTTCACATTTGACTGCATTTAGCTTGACTGTTGGCTCACCAAAGCCATTAACCGATATATTCAGGAGGGTCTGCCAATTAGCCTTCAGATAATGGAATCAGGACCAAACCATGTTAATTTAAACAGTCCCTAAATCAACACCACCATTATTTTTTAACAAGTGAAACAAAATAGACAAGGTAATGCACTAATGTGAGAATTCAAAGTAAATTTCAGATTAAAGGTACAAAATTGAACAAACATTCTCCACATCAGATATGCTGTTAGTTTGGCTACTCTGGCCTTAAAGGGACACTGTAGTCACCAGAACCACTACAGCTTAATGTAGTTGTTCTGATGTGTATAGCCTATCCCTGCAGGATTTTCAATGTAAATGTTGGATTTTCAGAGGAAAGGCAGAGTTTACATTGCTGCCTAGGAACACCTCTAGTGGCAATCACTCAGACAGCCACTAAGGTGCTTCCTAGTCCAGTCCTGCACAGTGTGCAACACTGACATTCAGAGTCTGCTGAATGTTCCCCATAGAGATGCATTGATTCAATGCACCTCTATGAGGAAATGCTGACTGGTGCAGTTCAGAGTTTTTGCCATGCGAATTTCAATTTCAAATGTAACGTGCTATATTTGACCCTGTAACTTCCCAAAACACCATAAAACCTGTACATAGGGGGTACTGTCTTACACGTGAGACTTTGCTGAATACAAATATGTGTATTTTATTGCAGTAAAAGCAAACAGTATTATGACATTGACAGTTAAAATGTCATGTAGAACTAAAAAAAATTTTAAAAATCTTATTTTCTCCCATTTTTTTCATATTAAATTATGTTTCATAGCAAAATATTTGATATTAAATGAAAGCCCTGTTTCCCCTGAATAAAATGATATATAATAAGGGTGGGTGGATTTACTATGAAAGAGGTGAATTACAGTTGGACAGACATGTAGCGCAAATGCCAGGTTTTGTTTACATTTTGTTTTGTTCACAACGTGTACATTTGGCTCAGTCCTTAAGGCGTTAAATTTGTAATTCAATTTGAATTCACTTTGGATTCTCGCTTGAATAACCCTGTTAGGTTTTTTATTGCACTTTTTATAATGCTAAGAACAGAAACATGACATCTGAAACTCTGCCCTGCTTAATTTTGTTTGATGACCATATGGACTTTAACCCCTCAAGGACCGCGGACGGTCAGGACCGTCATCAGCATTTTTGCCTTGCCGACCGCTGACGATCCTGAACCGTCCTAACGGTCTGAGTTACTTACCTGATCGCCGTCGTTCCCCCTGGCGGTGATCGGCGTTGCTCCCGTTGTGGGGAGACTGCCTGCAGCCCAGACAGTCTCCCCATGGCAGATTAGGACCCCTGGGGCCATGTGATCGCTTAACAGAGCGACCACATGGTCACAAATAGGTGTCCATGTGTCTGCCTGCAGGGGGACTGTCTGTGCTGACAGACAGTCTCCCTGCTAGTGTAAAATCCTTAAAAGAAAATAAAGTGAATGTTAATTAATATATATATATATATATATGTGTGTGTATATATATATATATATATATATATATATACATATTATATCTATATAATATATGTCTATATATCATATATATAATGTCATACTAAGTGTATTTTTATATTAATCTGTACATATATTAATATAAAAATACACTTAGAATTAAATTACACACGTATATATAATATATATAATAACTATATATTGTATATATATTATTATAAATATAAATAATAAGTAATTTAAATTAAATAAAAAAATGTAAAAATAATAAAAAAAATTAAAAAAATTATATATCTATATGAAATTTTATTCTAACTGTATTTTGATATTAATATATATTTATATAAAAAAACACTTAGAATGAAATTGTATATATATCTATGTATATATAAATAAATAAAAATAAAAATACGAAATATACATATGTCCATATACAAAATTACATAAATAATTATATAAATATACACGTAGACTTCAAATATATAAATATGCATATATATTTAAATTCTACGTGCGTATTTATGTAATATTTTTACATAATTAAGTAATTTTATTGATTGCAATTTGAGGGACCTGCCTGCCAACCCAGGCCGAAAGTCCAGAGAATTTAATTTGCTAGCACTGTATTTTATTCTGTAACGTTCTACGACACCATAAAACCTGTACATGGGGGGGTACCGTTTTACTCGGGAGACTTCTCTGAACACAAATATTAGTGATTCAAAACAGTAAAACATATCACAGCGATGGTATTGTCAGTGAAAGTGACTTTTTTTGCATTTTTCACACACAAACAGCACTTTTACTGATGATATAATAGTGATAAGTTTTCCAGTTTTGAAACACTAATATTTGTGTTCAGCAAAGTCTCCTAAATATAACAGTCCCCCCCATGTACTGGTTTTATAGCATTTTTGAAAGTTACAGGGTCAAATATATGGATCAAATATTTTTACATTGAAAATGGCCAGGATGGTTACGTTGCCTTTGAGAGCGTATGGTAGCCCAGGAATGAGAATTACCCCCATGATGGCGTACAAAAGAAGACAACCCAAATTATTGCAAATGGGGTATGTCCAGTCTTTTTTAGTAACCACTTAGTCACAAACACTGGCCAAAATTAGTGTTCAATTTAGTTTTTTACTTTTTTCACACACAAACAAATATGAATGGTAACTTTGGCCAGTGTTTTCGACTAAGTGGCTACTAAAAAAGACTGGACATACCCTGGGTTGTCTACTTTAAAAAAAATATGTACATGTGGGGTGTTATTCAGAGATTTATGACAGATAATAGTGTTACAATGTCACTATTGATAAATTTTAAAAATGTATGTTTTGAAACCGCAATATCCTACTTGTACCTATAGCCCTCTAACTTGCAAAAAAAAGCAAAAAGCAAAAATTTTGAATCTATTTAGCAGTTTTTTCATTCGCTTTTGTAGATGAGTAAAAGATTTTTTTTTAAATTAAATTACATGAGATTATATAAATAATGGTATGTAAAGAAAGCCCCTTTTGTCCTGAAAAAAACCAATATATAATTTGTATGGGAACAGTAAATGAGAGAGCGGAAAATTACAGATAAACACAAACACCACAAAAGTGTAAAAATATGCCTGGTCGCAAATGTACAACATCGCAAAAACAGTCCAGTCCTTAAGGGGTTAAAGTCGCCCTGTCACTGAGAAACTACGTTATTCAAATTTTAGTAAAACACTGGCTGTAAATTTTAATTCTCCTAAATAGGTAATCAGATTGTAATAAATAATTAACATTATCATGAAATTTTCTCGAGGTTAATCAGTGAATTCTGAACTGAGGTGAATTAAAAAAAGAAATGTAACATTTATGCAAAAAATTGTGATTTTGGAAAATACAGCTATGATCACAGTTTGCTTAAATCTATATTTTTGCATTTGATTCACTACAACTCTGTGTTTGGTGAATAAACTCTTGTCTGTGTTGGGAGCTCAGAACTCTTTCAAATGATATCTTAACATGACTTTACCTACACTTGCTGATCGATTATTTTACACACTTTTAAATCCTTCTGACATGTATAAACCGGTTCAGGTCTTAGAAAGGAAGCGATTTATCCTCAGTGGATTAATTAGCAAGTCTACTAGAGAAGCCACACAAATAACCAAGTTCAGATGTGGATAGTGTAAATGTATTTTGACAGCATCTTAAAATCCCTGCACAGTTTATTAAAAATGAATTTAACATTGATATTTTCATTCTTAAATTACTTTTTGGAGCTTTTCATAGTATGATATACAAAGTACAAAGGAGTTGCTCAGAGTACTATAACATTTTTAACAAGAACATATATGAAACCATTAGATTGTTGTGTCTTCTAAAGGTAGCCCCACTGGACCCCAGGGAAAGGGAGAATCCACCCCAGCACTTCCAATGGTAGGGAGGCTGGGGGGATTAAATTTTACAAATATTTTAAAACAATTTTAGTGTGTTTGTGTGTTAGTGTGTGTGTGTCTATTAGTAAGTGTGTGTGTCTGTTAGTGAGTGCGTTACTATGTGTGTGTCTGTTAGTGAATGTGTTAGTATGTGTGTGTCTGTTAGTGAATGTGTGTTAGTGTGTGTCTGTTAGTGTGTATGCATGTCTGTTAGTGAGTGTGTGTGTCTGTTAGTGAGTGTGTTACTATGTGTGTTTGTTAGTGTGTGTGTGTGTGTGTCTGTTAGTGAGTGTGTGTTAGTGTGAGTCTGTTAAAGAGTGTGTTAATGTGTGTGTCTGTTAGTGAGTGTGTATGCGTGTCTGTTAGTGACTGTGTGTGTCTGTTAGTGAGTGTGTATGTTGTCTATTACTGAGTGTGTGTGTGTGTGTATGTGTGTCTGTCAGTGAGTATGTATGTCTGTTAGCTAGTGTATATGTGTCTGTCAGTGACTGTGTATGTTCATTTAGAAGGCGGGGTGGGGGTGGTGCCTGAATTTTGTGATGCCTAGGGCAGGACAAAACCAGGATACACCACTAATGGGGAGTAGTGTGTTTGTGTATGAGGGGCAGTGTGTGTGGATGGGGGGGAACAGTGTGTGTGTATGGGGGAGTGCAGACGCAATGATTGCTATTGCTACTCCCTAATAGATGCTGCTAGTTCTGGCTAAGGAGTATAGGAACGGAAGACATGATTTCTATTTACTGGATTCTCATTGGACATAGTCACTGTACACTACTTTGCATCTACATTCATCCCCGAGATGGGGATTGTACCATCTATGCGTAATACAGCAGAGCTCTGAGAAGCCCACCAAAGTGTGAGTAGGTTCACTATATATTTTAATTCCAAATCTTAAATTGACATAACATATTGCAACCTAAAATAAGACTGCACTCTAGTGGTAGACACGTGACAGTATTTCTTAACTCTATAATACTGCAGGACT